TATGTATCATAACATCATCCCAAAGAAGGTTGAATGTTTACTTACTATTTTACTATGCATACACATGTTCATGTACATGCATGTATACTTGTAGGTGAGGGAAGCATATGGAAAATGGTGGAGGAAGAAACAAGCCAACTCTTTAATGCTCAGCAAAATAACATTCCTTACATCAAATGACTCGGTCAGTAAAATTAAGGGAATTATTAGTCATGATACACACCATGCATACTGTAGACAATGAAGAACAGCAAGAACAGGAAATACTTAACTGACAATACTTATGAGAATTATGCCATGGGGACATATGAAGGTATGAACACTCAAAATGCACATATGCTACATGTGTGCATGCATAATTTAAAGTACAGTACATTAAGTGATCCATTGTATTTAGTTATAAATGTATTCACAGGTGGTGACAAGTTTAAAGATAATACAATCACTTCAAATTCCTCCTTAATATCAACATTGCCAAAAACATGATCAAATTTGCTACTGTTATAATTTTAGTTTCCTGTGTGATATACAACATTACTGTCCTAAGGTTTGATTTTTGTATGGTATCTCCTTATTACTATTCTCAGAAGTGTAGTACATGTACATTAAATATGTTTATTGCTGAATTGGGCCATCCTAATTCCAACCATACATGTAAGGTTATCAAATAAATAGGAATGTGTCATACATAATAAATAAAGAGCTACTGTTTCAGCCACATCATTATTGGCTTCTTACTGGAACTCACGAGCTATACAATTCAATTACACATGTACATGTACATACACAAAGGATGATAATAACACAAGAATGACAAAAATGGATAATTATTAGTAATCTACAGTAGCAATGGAAGCGGTGGATCTGTATAAAAAATAATTATTGAAAGGAACATTGATGTTTGTAAATAAACAGGAACCTTGACCCCTCAGGGCTCAGGAAGTCTTGTTTGCCCACAAAAGGCAAACATCATGTACATTATTGCCAAATTGTGCTGCTTGTTATCAACTGAGTGTAGCCAACAGGTCATGGCTGTGGTTTTACTGTGAAAATGTTTATTAATTTATTTTGTTTTTATTAGTAAATAATGAGAGAAGGTGTTCGTGCTTTCTTTGATATTGTTTTCCAACATGGTCTAGTGAGTTTTTCCTCTCTGCCTCTAACTGCTCTTCATGCATTTGTCTACAAAAAGACAATGAGACCATAAAAGAGTAGTATTTACATGTATATTATTATACAGTCGTATAGCATTAAATAAGGAAATTTACATCAAAGTAGTTAAGTGCATGTGTAGTAATCTGTTATGCATGCCTTTTCAGGTTTCTGGTCATTAATCTTATTAGTAGTATTTTATTGTCAAACACATGTATATGTACATCATGTACACGTACATGTACATGTACATGATGTACATGTACATAACAGACGCTGTCAGGAGCCCATAAAGGTAGGACTAAGGCTAGGCAAATTATGCTATGGGGCATAATAGGGCAAGTTACATGTATTATGCTGGCATAATTCGAGCATAATGGGTCAAAAATTTTTGACCCCATACCCCTACATGAAATTGTAATTCAATATGGCAAGTACTAGTGCAACTATAGTCCTCACGCCTACGCACAGCTGGGCAAGGCCAATGACTTAGAGTATTTTACTTTCCAGTGATTCAAAGTCTTTATTACAATACTACTTTTATTACAATTGCATTGTGTATATACAACAGATACATGCATGTACATGTAACTTGATAGTTGATATTTGAGTAAAGCTTAAAATATGAGCATAATAATGAGCATAATTGGATCCATTTCAAAGCATATTAGGATGGAATTTGAGGCAGTGCCTGAAAGCATAATAGGCAGAAATTGAAGCATAATTTGCCTAGTCCTACTCCTGACACTGTAAATAATAGATAATAGCAATGTACATGTACATGTACGTTTAACCTGGTGCAAAGTGGCTCATCAGTAGTGTCTGGTATATAGAACTCAGCTCTGAGCATTTCTTCAGTCACTCTTGGCAAAGGATCACTTGATTCAGAACTAAAGAGCAATACATTATGCATACAGTCACTAATATTGTGTACAATGTATGGTTAGGTATATACCAGTCAAGAGTCTCCAGGTCATCTTGTTGGGGCCCGTCAAGTTGAGGAGGGTCAGTCATGAGTGGTAACAGATCAGTAGAGAAAGGATCAGATAGACAAGGTCTCCATCTTGAGGAGAGGGTCTTCTGTCCCTCCATTGTTGCCAGGAATGGAGAGGGAAAGTCCTTCCATTTCATGATACCAGGGATACCGTCCTGTTATAAAAAAGGAGAGGGTTAGAGAGAGGTCTTGTAAAGTTAGGGGACTCACATATGGATCCAGTTTTGGTTGTGGGTGAGGTGCACCGGATCCAGTGGACAGAGGCAGTAAGTGATGCTCAAAAGTGACTTCTGAATTAGGCAAATACTCATACAATCCACTCACAACTTCAGGACAAGGATTCTATTAAATGATCAAAGAAGATAAAAATAAGAATTTTATTATTAAAATTGTATGCATCATTGAACTAACAAATATGTGAAAAGGTTGTTCTATCTTGTGTTCAAAGAGATGGGTGGGTGGATCAAAAGGAACCATCCTCTCTCTTATTTCATCAACAAGAGATTTACCCTCCTCCTTCTTCTTCCAGAGAAAAGACAAATCAAGCTCAGGCAATGAAGTAAGCAAAGAACACTCTTCCTAAGAGAGAGAAAGAAAGAGTCGAGAAGGAGAGAAAAACAAGAGAGAGAGAGGGGGGAATATTATAAAGCATATAGTGCTGTATGTACTTGAGCTCCAGTTAGTTCTTTATCAGATTCAAGTGGCATATAATAGATACTGGGTGGGACAGTGAGTGTAGAGTAGCCTAAGAGCTTATGCTCACTTGGTACCTGTATCATGAAAAGCATGTGAATATATGAAACCTGTATTATGCATACATATGTATGTACATGTACATGTACAATAAAAATACTGTACCTTAAGATCAAGGAGTGGTATCGACGGCTTAATGTCAACTTTGTTTGGTTGGACTGTCACTGGTGTGAAGGACAGCTACATGTACAGTGCATAATGTATAATTATACAAAAAAATTAACAGATCATCAATAAACATCATCATTATCAATAAAATCAGACACACCTTCTCTGAACTCTTGTTGCGCTCTATATAACCAGGGAATATAGGAGGAGACAGACTTAGTGACAAGTCCTCCAATGATAGTTTATTCTGTTCCACATTAGCACTAGGACTGATCTCTGCACTCAATTCTATATAAATACATGTAATTGAATAAAATAATTTATTATTTTCAATACCTCGTTCTCTTGCTGCTTTTAAATCAGCTTTACGGAGAAGCTCTAGTTTCCTCTGGCATCTGTTCCTCACTATGACAGAGTTTGCTGCTTTTATGAATCTCTGCTGTAGTCTGTGTCTCTTCTCCCATTCATTGTTAGCCGAAGTATTAAAAGATGGGCAATACTGAGGAATCTACAATAAATGAAATATTTTTAATAACTACAAATGTACATGTACAGGTACATGTAATTTTTTGAGTTATGACCATTTTTTGAAATGCCAAATTTCAGAGAAATATCCTGTACTACATGTATAGCCCATACTTTTTCCAAAATATGGCTCTGAAATCATCCCAAATTTTTATTATAATTATTTTCTTATTTTCTTATACACATTGTGCGCTTATATTAGATTCCAACTTAAATTTTTCGAGTTATGTCTATTTTTTAAATTCCAGAAATACCCTATTTTTCATCTGTAGATTTTCTGCTACAGTATACAATATACGATACATGTACATGTATATGCACAATTGACTTACTTCTTTTACTTTTCTAAGTGTCCTATTCTGGTTTAATTCTGTGACTAATCTACCCAACTCTACTTTGTTGTCGGGAAGATTATACTTAATCTAAATATTGTGTGCATACAAGAGTACATGACATAATTATTACAATAAATATTGAAGTACTTGATATCTTCTTTGTGCTTCTTGTCTATTCTTTAAAATGGTCTCCTTTCCTTCCTTGTCTAATGGTTTAGAGCCTATATGCTTTACCCTAAATATGAGACATGAGCAAAAATAATAAAATCCAACCAAACAAGAGCCAACCATCTGATCCTATTAGCTTTCTCTTCCTCGTCATTCTCCTTAACTTTCTGAAGGAAGACTGCCTCTTTAAGCTGATAAGAAGAGCTCCCTGAATAAGAGCTACCAGAAGCACCACCAGTGGTGGTAGCAGTCTTAAGCTGAGCAACAGTCATCACTCCAGGCTTCTGTGCAAGGACCTTAGCTACTGCCGTAGGCGTATTGAGATTAGGAGGGAAATGGATCCCTTCATATTCTGTAGTGGCATCCTTTGATTTGCTGGTTCTGCTCTTGCTACTGGAGAGCTTTCTTCTCTTACTAGAGGCACTGGTGGAGGGAGGAGGAGGAGGAGAAGGAGAAGGAAGGGAGACCTTTTCTTTTGCTTGACTGACTGCAGCTTTCCTCCTCGTAGACTCAATCTTGTATTGCTGCCTTGAAATGAGAACAGAAGCAAGTAAAATAATTACATGACGTCTTTTGCTGTACATTTTCTAAAAAAATTAAAGTTGCTCCAAAACTTGGTCATAATATATTAATACCAGACATGGGGTCAAGCACTAGGAAATGTGCTTAAACACAAACACAAGCACTTAAATGTGTTAGAAGTACCAGCACAGGCACAATATTTAGCTTTAATAAGCATTTTTCAGAGTGCTAAATATTCAATAAGTGTAAAAATAAAGTAAATTATAATTATAGTTGTTCACTTTACATGCACTTAGTCATTTAATTTACTACTGGATCTAATAAACACTAACTCTGTGAATTGTTCATAATAAATGAAAACAGCAGAGAGCTTTGGAGTGATACCACTAATGGTTCTGCCATTACTGTTCTTCAAGCTAACATGCAATCACACAGTGTGCTACTAAACTTGTATACTACTGTACCACTACATGTACATGTACATCTACATGTTGATGTCATGTACATGTACCACTACATGTACATGTACATGTAGTGGTTACCCAGCCCAATAAATTGTAGTAACATGTACATGTAGTGGTACATGTACATGTACCACTACATGTACCGGTACATGTACATGTAGTGGTTACACAGTCCAATAAATTGTAGTAACATCATGTACATGTAGTACGTGGTACATGTACATGACATCAATGTAGATGTACATGTAGATGTACATGTACACTATTCGTGTGTAATTTTTGCTGTTCTTAGAAGCAATTTGTAAATTTGTAAAAGTAATTAAGTACGTACATGCAAGTACAAAGCACATAGATTATATTGAAAAGATACTTGTAAGCAGCATTAAGTACTTTGAAAGCTGTGCTTATTTGTGCTTAAGGACAAGCACCAAGTGCTTGACCCCATGCCTGATCAATACATGATATTTCATTGAAAATGGTTATGAGCGAATCCTTCATTTTTATGCATATTTGATCATTGAAGTTATACATACATGTACAGTACATGTTGACATTCGTTAACTCACAGAGCAAGTCCAGGAACAGCATTCCCAGTTACTGTACAAAGGAGAGGCTGAAAGTTGAACTGGACAATGTCTAACTGCAAAGAGAAAGAAAAAAAATAAAAGCAACTTAATGGTAGAGCAATACATATACATGTACATCTACATGTGTATGAGTGTATGTGTGTGCATGTACCTTGAATTTCATTGTAGCAGTTGAATATTCCATTGGAGAGAAACTAATAGCAAATTTTTCTTTATTATTACCAGATACTATACCTACATGTACATTAATATACATAACAGGTAAGCATAAGTACTCTAATTATCATCATCATCATCATCATTATTATTATTATTATTATTATTGGGGTGAGCAAAAGCAAGCCCCACATAGTCGAGTCGAGTATGTCTGTCTGTTTGTTTGTACACGTAAGTCACCCCTATTTATGCGTTTATAAAAATAATAATCAAACATTTTAAAATGATAATTTTGATAATTACGGTACCACATGCAAAAACAAAGAGCAACTTCAGTAATCACTGGACGAGAGGAGTTCAAGAGTATTCAAAAAACAAGAGAAGCTGAAGCTTATAGCATGAGTAATTCACAAGAAGATGCTCATGAAGCTCGTTGACTTCTTCGTAATGAGTGTGAGAAGCAGCAAGACTGAGGAGAAAAGAGCGAGGACTGAGGTCCAAATGCTAGAGATAGGTCTTGTTGCACCCAAAGACAACAAATGGAGTCTCCTTCTGGCTTCTGAGACCAACTATCTTCCATCCTACATGTAGATCTATATAACTGCAGAGATTTATGACTCAAAGCTAGAAGCTATGAAATTCCTTCCATGCAAATTAGTGTATTGACATCAACATTCAACATTTAATAGCCACTACATCATTGTCTATATAGACATTGTATATTGCTAATCAAAATGTTAATCATTTTGCTCGCCCCTCGATGTTTTACATTCGCCTAGTTATTATTATTATTATTATTATTATTATTATTATTATTATTATTATTATTATTATTAATATACCTGACATTGGTGATACTGAAAGAGCTGGATGAGGCTGTGTCACAGTGAGAGAGTACTGGAAATCAACAGGGATCAAATTATCGAGAATGAAATCATGAGTACGAGTCTGACCCACTGGCGTGGGACGAAACATGACGGATCGTGGAAAAGAAGAAACGTTTAGTACAGGATAAGCATTAATTGGAATCAGTAAATTTGCATCCTAGAATAAAAATAATAATTACTATACATGTACATGTACATGTACATGCAAAGGCTTTGTCCCAGGGTTTCTCACAGGATTTTGGCATAGCGTTAATGTAGCTTTAAGAGTCAGTGAATATTGTCAAGTTGCTTAAAAATTGGACCAAAGTCCCTGTACTACAGTACATGGTCCTAAGCCAAATTTTGGCAGAAATGGTTGGCTATGTGAGAATTCTCAATTTTTCCGATACATTTACATTGTAGATGTTCTTATGTTGCGTAAAAAATTTTGAGTTAATTCTAATCAAAATTAATTTCTTATAATTTTTTTAAGTTCCTCCAAATGCCATGAAAGATTCATGCTGTTTAGCTCACTTAGCATGCTTTGTGGGAAACCCAGCCTTACATCAATGATCACATTAATACATATATCTACATGTACATTAATACATACATTGTACCTTGCTATGTATCCTAATGCAATCATGATAGTGCTTCCATTCATTTGGACGGAAACTAAGAGTGACTTTAAGAGAGAGCCCAGGGACTAGGTGCCTGCTGGTCTTATGATAGTCAATGGTGAAGTGATGAGTGGCTGGAGGGACAACGTGTAAACTGACATTGTCATTTGATGCATTTATGATATGCTACAAAAAGGGAATGACAAAGAGTACAGTATACCATATAGCGGAAAATTTTCTTGGCCCATAAATTTCGTGAATCTGTTCAAAAATTAACTTCGTGCCTTTAATTTTTGTGGTTTTCTACTTTTCGGCCATCTTGAACAGTATTGAATCAATTTTCATGGATTTTATTTTTGTAAATTGTGAAAAAACGCAAAATCCACAAAAATTTTGGGCCATAAAAATTTTCCACTATACGGTAACATGTGAATGGATGCATTATGTACATGCATACATATAATCAAGAGCACTCTTGATGTAATAAATGTACAATTGTACATGTACATCTTGCATTAAGTTTACAATTGTTTGCTGGTGAAGTCGCCCAGTCTTGTAGCCATGAAAATGAATCGTCTGTGGCTTCGTTTTGATGGGAGAGTTTTCTTGTGCATTACTAAAGTATCCTATACACACAGTACATACAGTATCAGTATGACTGTTATACAATGAATTAATGACTGACTAGTTTGTGATAAGTGATCTGGTACAGGGCCCCGTGCTTGAATGCAAGCCCCTAGCTCCTTCTCTAGCAGTCTAGAGGAGAGCATTGAAGGAGAGGAGGGAGGGAGAGGAGGAGGAGGAACAGGCCTAGAATCACATTCTGCACTCATGTTGCTGAACACTGTTACCGTGACAACGTAGGTGTGGTAAAGCTATGTAGGTGTGGCTTTATTTTTCAACCCACGTGCTGTCACGTTGGTTGACTTATGAGCTGTATACAAACCAATGGCAGAGTTAACTTAAGAAAGGATAGGAAATAACTCTATTCTTATGCTAAATTGAATCTTTTTGGTTTATGCAGCACTTCCTGTTTTCAAAGTAACTTGTTCTTAGTCTTTAAATTAAGTTTTAAGTGTGAATCACCTTATGGTCTCAGTTAGTTTGTATTTTGAGATTTTGTAATGTGTGTATAATAATAATTATCATTTATAATTTTAAAATTAATTTTTAATAAAATTAATCTATAATACACTACTTGTTTGTTTGTGTGTGGATCATTATGTTATCATTGCCTATTGTATGTCATTATTTATTATTGTTATTGTTTATATCACTATTTTAGTGTCAATCATAGTATTATATTTAGGCACATGCAACCAAATGCCTGATTTTCTTCTTCATCTTTGAAAACAGACGACGTACTGGCTTGAGTGACATCTTATGACGACGTCTGCCTTTTGCTTTTCCACTACCTTCAACTTTGTCTTCATTATTCTCATCTTTCTTCTCTGTAGAAGCCTCAACTTCAATGATTTCTGCACTTTTAACTTCATCCTGTATAGTTTCTTCATCTTCATTTTTCTCCATCGCATGCTCATCTTCACTGTAGCAGTCCTCATCCTTTACAGATATATTATCATCATCCTCTTGTTTATTATTAGCTTTCATCTCATTTATGTTGCAATCTATTTTTGTCTCAGCATCATTTGAAAGCTTCTCATTATTGTTAGCTTTCACATTATCTCCTGCTTCAGCAGTGCTAGCTTCTTCTCCTTTAGCATCGTTAGCTTCATTTTCTGCCTCAGCATTAACGCTAGCTTTATCTCCTGCCTCAGCATTGCTAGCTTTATCTCCTGCCTCAGCATTGCTAGCTTTATCTCCTGCCTCAGCATTGCTAGCTTTATCTCCTGCTTCAGCATTGCTAGCTTTATCTCCTGCCTCAGCATTGCTAGCTTTATCTCCTGCCTCAGCATTGCTAGCTTTATCTCCTGCTTCAGCATTGCTAGCTTTATCTTCTGCTTCAGCATTGCTAGCTTTATCTCCTGCTTCAGCATTGCTAGCTTTATCCCCTGCTTCAGCATTGCTAGCTCTATCTCCTGCTTCAGCATTGCTAGCTTTATGTCCTGCTTCAGCATTGCTAGCTTTGTGTCCTGCTTTAGCATTGATAGCTTTATGTCCTGCTTCAGCATTGCTAGCTTCATCTTTTGCCTTAGTACTGCTAGCTTTATCTCCTACCTCAGCACTGCTAACTTGAGTATATTCTCCTGTCTCATTAATGTTAGTTGCCTCAGCTTTGCTAGCTTTATCTTCTGATGCACCACTAGGTTGATCCCCTGGTTTAGCTTTGCTAGCTTCATATTCTGCTGTAGCATTTTCCTCTTCGTATTCTGGTGCTTCAGCACTGCTATCTTTGGCAAAACTAGCTTCATCCCCTTCTTCAGGACTGCAAGCTTCAAGAGGAGTGCTTTGCTTGTCAGTCTGGGAGCTGTCTGTAATGTCAGTGAGAATGTCACTTATCTCTAGATCCATGTCACTAATATCATCCATCTCTGGATCAGCACTGGTAACTATTATTATTGGTTTGTTCATGAATGCTTCAATGTTGGCGTTAATATTCTTATCTATCTTAACGCCAATAGGTACCTCAGCTTCTGTACCATTCTTCAGTTGATCATCATCATTGGAAACCTTGCAGCTTGCATCAACTTCATTGGTTTTTTTAAGAAAAACTATTTCACTGTCAAAGACCTTTTCAGCTTCCTCTTTTATATTGTAAGTATTGTCGTCATTCTCTCCCTCTGTATAAGTGGCCTCTCCTTCTGTTAATATGGACTCTTCCCCTTCATTTTCTCCCTCTGTTAAAGTGTCATCTTCACATTCGCTCTCAGCTGATAATTCTTCTTTGACCTCATTCTCCGAGTCTTCTTCTTTGTTACTGGCAACGTTCACTTTGTTTTGGTTAAGTTCAGGTAACATATCAGCTCCTATTTCTTTGCCAGAAGTATCATCCCTTTCATCATCATCTCTGTCACTTGTATTGCGTACATCAATATTGATGTCATCAACAATTTCACCTTCCAATTCTTCTTCTACTTCTTCCGGTATCTCTTCCTCTTCAGATACCTCCTCCTCCTCCTCCTCTTCTGATATTTCTTCTTCCTCATCAGATGTCTCCTCCTCCTCATCTGATATCTCCTCTTCATCTTCTGATATCTCCTTCTCTTTTACTACAGAGTCAAATGTTACACGTTTCACTGGACGTGCAGGTGCACGATTATCCATATCACTCTCTGGAATTGTAGGCAGTGATGGTGGTAAAGAGCAACGGTGCCTATTAGACACACCATAGCTGCTTTTACCTCGAATAAATGATGAGCGTGGACGCACACGAGTTGGAGGTTTTGCAGCATATTCAGGCATAAGCTCTGTAATACCATTCTCCTTGCCCTCTAGCTCTGACTTCTTGACTTTCATCACTGCCCTAGAGAATGATGTTTTCTTAACAATGTACTCATATTCCTCCTCCTCCTCTGACTCAGTACTCTCAGTATCCTCCTGACAGCTATCGCTCTCTTGCTCTGGCAAGGACTCATCTTCACATTCTTCTATTTCTAAGTCCTCCTGCTCCTCTTTCTCTACCTCCTCCTCTACCTCCTCCTCTACCTCCTCCTCAACTTCCTCCTCTACTTCCTCCTCTACTTCCTCTTCTACTTCTTCTTCTACTTCATTCTCCACTTCTTCTTCAACTTCTTTGTCAACTGTGTTATCTTTGATTGAAGGGAGCACTGAAGCCTGTGTTGGGAAAGGAATGTATTCCGGAACTGGAGGCGAATAGTTCCTTCCAGCAGGAAGAGAAGGTGCAATGGAAGGTAACCTGTAGTTACGGTTAGTAAGATTCGCTAGACTAAGAGAATAGCGACTGCATATTGAGCGAGAGCTAGCATCCTTGAAGCGGTTGGCTGCTGAAGCCACTGCCGATACTTCTAATTTGCCGGGATCATTTTTCTCGGGAGCAATGGAAGGTAATGCACGAGGTTTTCCATGAAGAACCATGCCCTCAGACATTGGGTGGTTGCTCGATTTCAATGATGAACCTCTAGGAGAAACCTGCATCTGGTTAACATCTCGAGGGGAACTAGGATAAGATTTAACCAGCTCGGATGTTGAGTGGATACCGGAAGAGAGTGTTGCCTCAGTCAGTCGTGGCTGGGCACTAATTTGAGGAAGATGGAGCGAGCTCTTTGACTCATTGACGTCAGAGGGTTTCTTCCCAGTGTTTTTCTTTCTCAGGATTCTAATCATGACTTCCTATAAAGAATAATGAAAATTAGAAGCGTAAATACAAGATAATAACTTACTTGATAAAGCCACACTGTAGCAATAACAACACGGATGAGAAAGCGAAAGATTGGCAAAACTGCAAAAAAAGACAAAAGACACTTAGCTATTTTCCCGGCTTTAGAATTCATTTCTTTTACCTTCCTGTACTATCAGGGTACCAATGAGGTAAACAATAATACTAAAGAACAGGAATGCAGTAACAGCGAGATCAATAGCGAGAAAAATAGCACTAGCCATCAAGCTCTTTAGCCGTCTTTAGCAAAACAAGACAATGCTAACTGCAAGGATACGGAGCTATGGAAACACATCTGTGTGCATGTCGATCTCTGTCGAATCATATTGCTGTAACCATAGCTCTATGCTGTAACTATGGTCTCGTGAATGCTTTCCCGCTAAAATTTCCCGCGAAAGATGGACTCGCACGGCACATCTATAAAGCTTTAAATTTTTTTGTTTCTTTTTCAGTGATGTTAAAAATATGTGTAGTTGGTTTTAGATCTAAATCTATTGTTTTTATGGTAAAAACATGCTGTTTTGCCGAGCTTACAGCTTAGCGCTCGCAGTCCTAGTTAGGTGTGGTTTATCCGAGCCCCACCTGAATAGGTGTGGTTTAACCTGTTGAGTTCAATATGGAGGATTCAATGGAGGTCGATGAAAGCGATCGTCATTTGATGTCTACAGACTCTATCAAGGTAATGGCTGAGTCAATCGGTATATCAAACCTCAATGAAGATGTATGCAAGAGATTGAGCGAAGAAATGGAGTTCAGATTGAAAGAGGTAGGATTATATAAACTATTAAAATTAATGCCCACAAAATTATTATAATAATTATTTTTTGTATTAGATTGTACAGAATGGCATCAAATTCATGCGTCACTCAAAACGTAACCGTCTCTCGTGTGGCGATATTGACAACGCACTGAGATCCAAAAACATTGAGCCACTCTATGGCTTTGAGTGCTCAGAGTACATACCACTACGTCACTCCAGTGGAGGAGGCAAAGAGATATACTATCCAGACGATCAAGAGGTTGACCTGGTGAGTATTGTTAGCTCACCGCTACCAAAGCTCCCGTGTGATGTGAGCCTTCACAGTCACTGGTTAGCAGTAGATGGGGTGCAGCCATTGGTACCAGAGAATGTCCCGTCTCTCTCTTTGGAGGAGCAAAGGAAACAAGCTGTTGCTCTGTCCCTCAACAGTCAAGATGCTTCTTTGGTACCGAAGGATGTCCGCTTAGAGAGAAAGAGAAAGAAGGAGGAGGAAGGTGTTGTTGAGGTTGTCAAACTCAAATCTCTCCAGCCTCACTTGCTAACAATGGAGCAGCAGTTGTACTATAAGGAATTGACTGATGCGTGTGTGGGCCTCTCCGATTCAAAGAGACAGGAAGGGCTTACGAGTCTTAGCACTGATCCAAGCGTTTATCAGCTTTTGCCTCAACTGATCACCTTCATGACTGAAGGCATTAAAGTCAACATTGGCCAACGGAAGCTGGCCTCTCTCAGAAACCTACTCAAAATGGTTAAAGCCCTTTTAGATAATACTTCCATATCAATCGAGAGATACCTGCACGATTTGATACCATCTGTCAGCACGTGCCTACTCAATCGTCATTTATGCACTCGCCCGGAATCAGAGGACCACTGGTCGCTGAGGGAATTATCCGCTAAAATATTGAGCATGATATGCAAGAGATACTCTAACTCGGTCAACAATATACAGACTCGGCTCACGCGCATACTCTCCCAAACCCTACAAGGGCTCACTCTTCAGGAGCTTGCCTCTCATTATGGAGCCGTTGCCTGCTTCGGTGAGCTGGGACAAGAAGCAATCTCGGCTTGTGTGATACCGCGTTTAAAGCAAGAGGGAGAACTGATCAAGTCTGCTCTGATCGGGGTGACCGGGTCATCAAAAATAGTCGAACAAGTTGCAGCTAACAAGTTGCAAGGTATTCTTCAGAGACACTGCTCCCCGGTCCTTCATCAAACAAGATCAGCCACAGACACGATAGTTATGTATCAGCAGGACTATGGGTATATGGGTACGTGTCTCTTTAACCAGGTCAAGTCCCTCAGGCAAGGACGCCCTATACTAACTCTTAGTAATCTATCAGGCCCTACTGGCTCTCCTACTAGTCCTAAGACTAAATTGTCTCCTATAACTGTTGGAAGTCCATCGCAAGTAACGGCGACAAAAATTTCTAAAGGAGGATTACCAGGTGGTCTTAGACTTCAAATTAATTCTCCTGGAGGAGGTGGCACGTCGGTTGCGACTATACCAGTTAGTCTACTATCAGCCATTGCTAATCCATCTGTGGTACAAGCCATTGCTAATCAATTAGCTGTCACTAGTCCAACCGTTTCATCTCCTCCTACTACTACCAGGCCTCTGACACCGTCTACTACCACAGCAGCTCCTGTTAGTACTGTTACTCCTCCAACAACAACTAGTACTGTTACCACTTCGTCTAGCTCTTAGACTTTTTCTTACGTATAATTTCAATAGACCACGACCTTTATGATATTAATTGATTTTAATTATTGATTGTTCTTTAATTTCATTATTTCCATTATTATTATTATCAAGAGCACTCTTGTTATTATTATACATGCCAATTTTCTCACGTTAATTTTGCTTGCATCATTTCTTGGCAATGATAACCATAAAAATAATTAATAACAATAAAGCAACAATGAGGTCTGATTCTTATAACATAATACATAATAATAATTTATTGTGTACTAAGTACAGCATCTTCTCTATATATAATTATAGTAAACTTAAAAGTCTAAAAGAGAGATGTCAATATCTTCAAAATAAGAGTCAAAATCCTCTAAGAAGAGAAAATAAACAAAAGTGAGACACTCGTTGCTATTACCTTCAATATCTGATGGTGTTTGGTTCTGATGTACTTGATTAGGAGCAGTAGGAATATGACTGTCACTATTAGTTACAGTGTTGCTGTGTTGAGTGATACTACCTCCAGCAATAGTACTAATACTCACTATCCTCTCATTGCTAGTGTCGTTGTTATTTCTAAAGTGATTGATAGCTGAATGGTTGCTACTACTAGTCATGTCACTATTATTAGTTTTGCTAGTAATACCAAACAGGAGTGATGCACTTTGATTCTCTTTCTGTTGATGATCCTCTTCAATCCTTGACAAACTCTATCAATGAGAATAATTCAATCTAGTCAGGTTTCCCACAGGGTTTTGATATAGTACTCAGCAACGAATTTTAAAATTGTTCCAAAATTTGGCAAAAGCACAGGTACTTGTTAAAAATGGCTAGGAAGAATTCTCCAATTTTTCAGTACACGTCCATATGTTGTATACAAAGTTTGCGCTAATTTCAATCAAAATTGGATTTATTACACATTAAGAAAATCATGTCAAAAGTCCTTATACTATAGTACAGGCATTGGTCAAATTTTGACAAAAAAGAATAGGAGAAAATTCTCTATTTTTATAATTTTTTCTTATGCATATACATGTTCTTATGTTATGTACAAAGTTTGAGCTGATTCCAGTTACAAATTAATTTTTTATAAATTTTTGAAGTTGCTCAAAAATCGTGCCAAAGTCCCTGTACTACAGTACACGCTCAGTGGCCAAATTTTGGTAAAAATGACTTTAAAAAAATTCTTTGTTTTCATATTTTTTTCTGAAGCATATACATGTTCTTATGTTATGTACAAAGTTTGAGCTAATTCCGATCAAAATTAGATTTTTTTTACAAATTTTAAAAGTTAATCCAAATGCCATGTACTGTGTATATAGTGCTTGTCAGCTCATGAAGTGTGCTTTTTAGCTCACTTAGCATGCTTTGTGGGAAAACCTGCTAGTCACACTAACAACTAATAATAATAATAATAATAATGCACTTACAATAAGATTCCTTGTACTTGTTGAGGAAGCATTGGTACTTTGTTGAGGAGGATATATTCTTACAATGTTATCCAGAGTGACATTAAGATAATGCTTACGAGATGATGGACTGAACACTGATACCTACAGTGTGACACACAGTGTATCACAATAGCTAATAGCATTACAATAGACCTGTCTCAATATAGCCACAGATCCTTCAACAAACTCATCCTTATACTCTTCCATGACTAAGATGTGAACAGCAGCATGCATTTCCCCTATAAACATTAGTAATAATGAAACACAGCTAATTGAAATATACCACTGGGATCCTGCAACAGGGCTGTGGCACTTTTTGTTGATGTAACAATGCTTTTCACTAGAGCACACAAGTGTGGTACTTTACCATTTGGTAGCTCTTTCTTGGAAGCCTAGAAATGTTCAAGAACAATCATGAATTAAGCTGTAATGCTTACTTGTCTAATAATGCTAGCAATGTTAGCATTGAGAATAGCAGAAGTAAGAGGATCTAAGAATGATAAAAGAGAACATGTCATTAAATTAATTAGTGCATTTGTGTTAATGACTACCATTCACATCCAATTCAGATCTCATTATAGCCCATGGCCCACTAGATTGATTAAAGTCATCAAACTGATGGTCAGAATAATCATAAATAACACTGACATGACTCTATACATAAAAATACATCAATTAATTAAAAATTATGTTTGAAAACATACTTTACGAAGAGGAGTAGAGGCTGGAGTGCCTCCAGATGACACAACAGAGGCTGTTGATGTGTCATCTAGTCTTTTGACACTGTCCTATGATGTATAACAGTAATGGGATATGATGAATGATAGCAATTTACTAGTGGTGGAAGGCAACCAGCTGGTCCTGGAAACTTTCTAACAACTCGTGTAGGAGTTGCCTGTACACCAGTTCGAGGTACAGTGGGTGTGTTCAGACGAGAGACACTAGGAGTAGTCATACGTTTAGGTAAAGATGCTGTGGTAGGAGTCAAAATGATTTCTGAAGGAGAAGGTGTGGTCAGAGGTCTAGTGATTGAGTTAGTTTTTGTAGTCTGTGAGGTGGTTTCAAGGAGTGGACGTTTAGATAAAGGTTGAGAGGAGAGTGACCAATCAGTTTGACTGACTGCCCGAGACTTTGAATGAGTTGGAGAAGAAAGAATAGGGGGAGTGTCGTCTACTCTGTCACTGATGTTAATTGGAGAGAAATCAAACATGTCACAATTTTTAAAAATTTCCTAAGTAAAATAATAACCGAGGAACAAATAAAGGCAATAACATACATCATAATCTTCAAGGTCATCAGTAACATCATGAGTCTAAATGTAATACAAAAAGATGATCAAATTAAAATCAAATTTAAGCTGACCTGAAGACTGGTGGCAGGACTTTTGTCTTTCTCAGTAGGAGCAGGAGATGGTAAAGTGCCTGCAGTGTCTGTGGCCTTTTTCTGTCGGAGAAAGCTTAGAGCTTGCCTTAATTCAGCCATGACAAAGCACGTGGATAAAACAAACCACGCCTTCACAGTAACCCTTGACTTAAATGAGCTGATCTGGTCAACAAATCATGTGATTGTGATCATAAGATCATGTGATCAGATCATGGATCAACTGCAGTTTAACCACGTGGACATGAGATGATCATGATGGTGAGGATGTGATAGTGTGACCTTTTCTCACAACTCACAAGTAGTGAAGCTATAAAATTGCCCTCAACTTCAAATACAAAGCCACTCTCCTTTTCTTTGTCTTCACTCGGCATCATCATGGCTAAAGCTATCAGAGAGAAGGACGGGAAAGCTATCCTCTGCTCTTACCTGAATGAGCTCCGCTTCTCCGAAGAATATAAAGACTTTACTGTAAAGCTACCTCCTCTTCGCTCACTAACTGCAACTAGCACTAACTTAGAGGAACTGGCCTCCAACAACCAATGGCTTAAGAATGAGGTAGCTTTATTGAAAGATTCATTATGTTCATGAATATACTTATATACACTAATGGTTGTATGTACTGTATAGCGCAAATTTTGAGGGCTGTAAATTTTGCAGATTTTGCGATTTTTTGAAGATTTGCGAAAATTACTACCGTGAAAATCAATGTATTGCAGTAAAATTTTCGAAGGTTAAATTTGCAAAATAGATTTTTAAGCAAATTTGCGAGATTTACACCCCTTGAAAATTTTGCACTATACAGTATGTCATTCTTTGTCTTCTTTATTACAGTCTCTGGTTGTCAAACCAGATCAGCTGATAAAGAGAAGAGGGAAGTTAGGTCTCGTCGGTCTCAATAAAACCCTCAAGGAAGTCCAGCTGTGGCTAAAAGATAACGAAAACAAGGAGATACAAGTTGACGCTGCTACTGGGAAACTTAGAAATTTTATCGTTGAGCCTTTTATGCCACACGCTGATAAGGAGGAGTATTATTTATGCATTTATGCTACAAGGAGTGGAAACACAGTCCTGTTTCATACAGAGGGAGGAATGAGTGTAGGGGATATTGACAGCAAAGCTTATCGTGTTGATATTGATATTGATTCCACGCTGGGTATTGATAGAGCCCTGAGTCTTGTTGAATCAGCACCTTCTGATATGAGACAGTAAGTGGGAAGGTAGAGAGAGCAGAAATATTCAGCACGGTATGATGTATTATTATTATTATTGTTGTTTTTGTTATTATTGTTATCTTCATTTCTGCTTTCTTTCCCTTTCTCTCCTTTTCTATTCCAACCTATCGCATCATTTTTGTTGTTTTTGTTATTGTTATTTTTATCATTATTGCTTGATAATGCTTTTAGGGTTTTGGCTGAATACATTGTGCTACTCTACAGAGCCTATGCTGACCTTTATTTCACATATCTTGAGATCAACCCACTTGGTATGTCAGCACATCATTATACTCAAGTCATTATGTCCTTGTTTTTTTATTTAGTGGTGAAGGGCAATGCTGTTCATATGCTTGATTTAGCTGCTAAACTCGATTCAACTGCCGAGTATCTTTGCAAAAAGAAGTGGTCTGGGATTGAGTTCCCTCCACCATTTGGAAGGGATGCTTTACCCGAGGCATGAGCTCTATGATATTAGATTGAATATATATTCATTAATGCTTTCTTGTGTAGGAGTCTTACATAGCTGATCTAGATGCTAAGAGTGGTGCATCTCTCAAACTGACAGTGTTGAATCAAGCTGGTAGAATATGGACGATGGTTGCTGGGGGTGGAGCTTCAGTTATATACAGTGATACTATTTGTGATTTAGGAGGTGGAGCTGAATTAGCTAATTACGGAGAATACTCTGGTATGTCCCTATGTAGCTGTATTGTAGTTAGTAATATCTTTTTACAGTTAACTTTTTATTGTATTAATTTTTTCTGTTTTTATTGTAAATCAGAAAATTTTTGTGTTTTAAGAAATTGTGCTGTGATTTAATACTAAGACTGTGTCATGTATTATTAAAAGTAGCATGTAATTATATGCGTGATCTAATTTTTATGAAATTCTAATCCAGTAAAATTAAAATCTTAGTAAAAATTTCTAGATAGACGGTAATTATTAATTTCTTTTTTTAGGTGCCCCCAGTGAGTCACAGACTTACGAGTATGCTAAGACGATCCTTGGTTTAATGACTAGTGGTCCTACAAGACCTGATGGGAAAATACTGATAATAGGAGGAGGAATAGCTAACTTCACTAATGTAGCCGCAACTTTTAAAGTAATTGGATTATTTTATATAATAAAATTTTTAGTCATAACTTTGTACGAGATGTAATTGTTCAGATTCTCTTTTATTTCCTGTATTTCTCTCCCCAGGGTATTGTAAGGGCACTTCAAGACTTTAAGCACAAACTGATAGAGCACAAAGTAACCGTTTTTGTCCGAAGAGGAGGCCCCAATTACCAAGAGGGTTTAAGGGTGATGAGAGAGGCCGGCTCCAAGCTAGAGATTCCTCTTCATGTGTTTGGTCCTGAGACTCACATGACTGCTGTGGTGGGGATGGCTCTTGGCAAGAGACCACTGCCTAAATCATTTGAAGAGACGACACCGCAGAATGTAAGCCAATCACAATATACTATATAGTTTGGTCCTTTCATATATCATACATGTACATACAATGTAATATAAATCTATCTTTTTAATTTTTTAATTTCTCTCCTTATAGTCGTTCAAAGTTCCAATAACTCCAGTGACCTCTGGCTCTTCCCTGGCTGAAATGGCTAACAGAGATGCCACTCCTCCAGTATCAGTCCTTGTCAATTTGTGGGAGGAGACACAAGAGGCTGCCTACTCTCCTCCCACTCCGCTCTTCACTAATAAGACTGTTGCTATTGTATGGGGTATGCAGCCAAGGGCTGTTCAGAGCATGTTGGACTTTGATCATCTTTGCTCAAGAGTCAAGCCATCAGTAGCTGCTATGGTGTATCCTTTTAGGTAAGCCAATAAAATATAATGATAATGATGATAATAATAATAATAATAATAAAAATTATTTTTAGTGGCAATCACAAGCAGAGGTTTTACTGGGGATCCAAGGAAATCCTTTTACCAGGTAAAGTGGTTAATGATTAATGAGGTTAATTTCCATACTTTTTTGTAGTTTATAAGAATATGTCTGAAGCAGCTGCCAAGCACCCCGAGGCTGATGTTCTTGTCAATTTTGCTTCTCTTCGTTCAGCATATGAGGCATCAGTTGAAGCTATGACCTATAAACAAGTAAGATATGTCCATTATCTGTATAATGTTATCTGTATATGTGCACATATCTGTATTATAACAATGTGCTTTGTACATGTACACACATTTACATTCAAGCCCATATCCTTTTGCATTGCAGTACTAAGTAAATCTCTCCTCCATTCTTAGTTCAAGTGTATTGCTATCATTGCTGAGGGTATCCCAGAGAATCTCACTAAGAAGCTGATCAAAATGGCCAATGAAAAGAAAGTCTCAATCATTGGTCCAGCTACAGTAAGTATATACCAGTCACACAATCAAAGATTTAAACTCATTAGGTGGGTGGGATCAAACCAGGCTGCTTCAAAATCGGCAACACTGGAGGAATGACCGATAACATCATCTCATCCAAACTGTATCGTCCCGGGAGGTAGGTGTGTCTGACCACACCCATTAATAACCACACCCTCTTTACTAGTGTCGCTTATGTGTCTCGCTCTGGTGGTATGTCAAACGAGCTCAATAATATAATATCAGGCTGTACTAATGGGGTCTATGAAGGAGTTGCTATTGGAGGGGACAGGTACCCTGGGACAACATTTATGGATCACATCTTTCGCTATCATGACAACCCGGACGTCAAGATTCTAGTTGTGTTAGGAGAAGTGAGACAAAATAAAGTTAAATAAATGAATAAATTTTTGTTAGGTTGGCGGAATAGAAGAGTATGAGATATGCAAGAATGTTAAGTCAGGGAGATTGTTCAAGCCAGTTATTGCCTGGTGCATTGGTACTTGTGCTAAAATGTTCTCATCAGAAGTAATCCCAATCATCTCTTGGGTTGATGTGATCCCTCTCTTCCCCCTCCCCCCCCCTCTCTCTTTGTTCTATTCTCCAGGTCCAGTTTGGTCATGCTGGTGCTTGTGCTACTAGTGATAAAGAAACAGCTGATGCTAAAAACAAGGTAACACTACAATACAGCAATGTTAATGATAAGATACAGGACATTAGTGATAATGTTCCTTAGATAAATTGTTGATAATGTACATATTATCAAGAGTGGTATCATGTCGATGATGCCTATGATATTTCACTAGGCACTTTTAGAAGCTGGTGCTATTGTTCCTGATAGCTTTGATACACTTGGAACAGTTATCAGGTCAGGGAATATCAGAGTATAAGTAGGTCACTTAATGCATTTCATTACAGAGAGGTGTATGAGCAACTGGTAGCAGCTGGACTGATTGTACCTGCTCCTGAGAAACAACCACCAACTCTACCAATGGACTACTCATGGGCTCAAGTATATATAATAATCTTTTAATTTTTGTTTTATTTTATTTCTCTTCTCCCCAGGAGCTCGGTCTTATTAGAAAGCCGTCATCTTTCCTTTCCAGTATCTGTGACGAGAGAGGAGAGGAGCTGCTCTATGCTGGTATGCCTATATCTGATGTCTTCAAGGAGGAGATTGGAATAGGAGGTGTCCTTAGTCTACTCTGGTTCCAAAGAAGGTATTCCTTCATTACTCCTTATGCTCCTTCATTATCTACGGTAGGTTGCCCGAATATGCTTGCAAGTTTCTAGAGATGTGTCTGATGGTGACAGCAGATCACGGTCCAGCAGTCTCAGGTGCCCACAATACCATTGTAACCACTAGAGCAGGCAAGGATCTCGTGTCATCACTGACTTCTGGTTTACTTACCATTGTGAGCTACTATTAAGAATAGAATAGATTTTGCTATTATGAAATTAAGGGGGCATTACTAGTACATGTAGTTTTAATCTATTACTAAGTGCTGGTACATATATATTTTCTTTCTTTTAGGGTGATAGGTTTGGTGGTGCATTGGATGGTGCTGCCACTCAGTTCTCTGAAGCTTATGATTCTGGCATAATCCCAATGGAGTTTGTGAATGAAACACGCAAACAGCACAAGCTCATTATGGGAATTGGACACCGTGTCAAATCAGTGAGTTGTATTATTTTTTGTATTATTGCATGGATACTTCTCTTACTGGTAATGCTTTCCTTTCCTTAGCTTAACAATCCTGACATGAGGGTCCTTATCATTAAAGAGTTTGTTAAGAGTAATTTCCCAGTTACTCATGTACTGGACTATGCACTTGAAGTAGAGAAAATCACCACATCAAAAGTCAGTCAAAAAAAAACAGGAACATTTTCATTTATATTATTATTATTATTCGTGTGTACTGTAGAAGCCTAATCTTATATTGAATGTTGATGGTGTCATTGCTACTTCATTTGTTGATCTCATTCGTTACAGTGGAGCATTCACACCGTAAGCTGTAATAATTATTAAATAATAATAATAATAATAATAATAATAATAATAATAATAATAATGATAATAATAATAGTAATAATGATGCTGTCTATTGCAGAGAGGAGGCACACGAGTATTTGGAGATTGGTACATTGAATGGTTTGTTTGTTCTTGGGAGAACTATGGGATTTATTGGTGAGTGTTTTTTGTCAGCTAAAAACCCCACAATTGTTTTGTAATATTTTCTGTCATCTAAGAGTAAGCTTTTTTCTGAAAAATGTCCTGCAATATAGCTCATGTTTACATTTCTGATACATAATTTATATACTTATGCTATGTAAAAGGTTTGAGCCAATTCTGACTGAAATTTCTTGAGTTATGACCATTTTAGAAATAAGCCAGCTTCCTGTATATACGTGTACTATAGCACATTTTTGACAGAAAACTATAGCCCATGCTTCTTCTGAAAAATGGCTCTGAAATCATTCGTTATTTTTATTTCATTTTTTAATGCTATAATGATGCCTTAATTATGGGTAAGTTGTCAAATGAAATTGTTTGAGTTATGACCATCTTAAGAAAATATGACTAGAATAGATCCTCTGCAGGCTTTATCTTTCCGTGTGATTTTAGGTCACTATCTAGACCAGAAGAGATTGAAGCAAGGTCTCTATCGTCATCCGTGGGACGACATATCCTACCTCAACCCTCAGATGATCCCTGACCTCTTGTTCTAAACCACAGGATATTTAAAAAGTCATTATTTTAATTCTTTGACCTCTTATTAGTGATTAGTAATTATTATTATTAACAAATACATTAAGTTTGTTGATTGCACAGAGTATATACATTTATTAATAGAAAACACAACTTTATACAAAAACAATTATTTATCAAAAAAATGATAATACACTTCTTTGTTATAGAACAAAATTATAATATATTACATTATTAATACATTAAAATCATTCCGATCCTTCTTGTGCAGTTTGAGCAGTAGCAGCTCGAGCTGCTTCTTTCTCTGCTTTAAGTTTTTCTTCACATTTGACAAGAAATTCTTTAAAAGTCGGCCTCATTGAGGGATCAGCGTGCCACAGTCTTGCCATCATTTGTTTGCAGGATGGCTCAAGATATGATGGTATGACTGGCCTTGCTCCCATCAGCAGTTTCATGACCCACACCATGGCATTGGAGCAAGGGTCTACATCGGAAAATGGCCTTTTCTGAGTGGCCAACTCATGAAGCATGATGCCTAAAGAAAGAATGAAAAATGACCAATTTACATGTATAAAGGTGTTAACAAGAAAAGCTTTGCTTTTACAGTTTCTTTAAAATGAATTTTTCTTACTGTAATGACTAATGCAGATTTGGCATGTTGAAAGCAAAGCACAGTAAGGTTTATATTATAATAAAAAATAGCACAAGTTATTAAGACACTTCGTATAGTATTCATACAGTCTCACACTAACCAAATGAGTAGACATCACTAGCAGTGGAGAAATCATTCTTCTCAATGATTTCAGGTGCTCTGTAGTAAGGTCTCTTGTTACCATCTTTCAGGCAAAGCTTGCGCAAGTCAGCGTAGAAGTTAGTTTGGACTTTAGTGTTGTACAGTCCAAAGTCCGAGACCTTTGCGTTCATCTTCTCGCCGATCAGTACATTACTGGGAATGAGGTTTCTGTGTATGATGGGGAATGAGTGGAGATAAGCCATACCAGCCGCTATATCTCTGATCTAGAATGAGGAAGGATAATAATCACGGGATTCTTTCCTTCTCTCTCTCATCTCGGGGTTTCCCACAAAAACATGCAGTGTGAGCAAAAGAGCTAAGCTGAGAACAACTTTAAAAATTCGTTAAAAATCAAATTTTGCAGAATTACTATTTTTACACAACATAAGTACAAATACATTGGAAAATGTAAAACAAAAAACTCTCTCCTGGTGATTTTAGCAAAATACCCTATACTACAGTACAGGGACTTGGGCCCAATTTTAAAGTAACTTTAAAATTTTCTAAAAAAATCCAATTTTGATCAGAATGAGCTCAAGCTTGCTACATAACAAAAAACATGTATATGTATTTTTAAAATATTAAAATGAAGAATTTTCTCCTAGTCATTTTGGCAAAATTTGACCAAATACAATGTACTGTACTACAATTTTTAGTCCATTTTTTGAGCAACTTGAAAAATTTACTGAAAAAAAGCTCGAGCAGTGTACTGGGAAACCTTGTCTCGTCTACTGCTTACTATTTGTGTCTTTTCCAGTTTACTGAGCTGTGTCTTCTTAACGTGCATGAGAGTATGGAGGTCATTGTTGGGCATATATTCCATCACTAGACAGTAAAGTCCTGAACTAGGGACCATGATAGCTCCCATGAATTGAACTACATAGGGACACTGCAGTCGACTGGATAAAGAAAAGAGAATAATTAAATATACATATTATAAGATACTTAAAATTAAATAGCAACACCTCGATCTCTCTCCTCCCTCATTTTCTTCCTCTCTCTCTCTCTCTCTCTCTCTCTCTCTCTCTCACTCTCTCTCTCTTTCTCTCTCTCTCTCTCTCTCCTTACCTCAATTGCTCTACTTCTTTTTGGAAAGTCTTCCTAGTGCAGCACTCCCAGACGTCAGGTGGACGATTTATCTTCTTCACAACGACATCAATCGATCTAAAGGTACCCAAATAAACGTCGAAGAACTTTTGAAAACTCTCCCAATTATTATTAATAGCTTCGTCGGATATCTTTATCTCGTGCTCTCCGACAAGCCACCAGGGTTTAGAGGACACTTTATTTCCTGCTTCTTCTCCTCCTCCTCCCTCCTCCTCCTCCTCATCCCATAAATCAAGCCCACACATTTTATCCGAGAGTTCCCTTTGCTTAAGTTCATCTTCGCAGGACTTGAGTCGAGAGTGAACATACTCGTTTTCACCCTGAAGGGTTTTTATTTTTATGACGAGTTCCTTGAGACACTCTTCTTTCTCTGTTACCATGTCCTGGCAGCGACAGTTGGTCTCTTCATATTTTTCTTTTTTGCTGTCTCGTCTGAATAAGCTGTAGAGCATGCAGGGAGGGGGCGTGGTCGGATGACTGTTGCTTCTCTCTCTCATCCTGTCCTCATAAGTGACATGGGCACCTATCAGTAAATGGATAGAGTTAAAATTTTAAATGATTAAAAATTGAAAAAAATTATATTATTACTGGATAAATTGATACAACTCAACGTTTATCACAATTATTATGATTATTATTATTAGTAGTAGTATGATTATTTATTATCATGCAATAAATAGTGGCAAAAGGATAATGGTAATAATAGAGAATGAATAAGATAAGTATAGATAGATGAAAACTATTATCATTATTCATACTTGTAATGGATTCCTTTATTGACGGGTCATTGGTCAGGGCCAGAGGAGTGTCTCCATCTTTATCCTGTATAGAAATATCTGCTCCATTATCAGACAAGAGCAGGCAAATATCCTTAAATGACCTTTAATAATAATAAAGACAAAATAAATAAATAATAAATCCCACTTAGTCACATCTTTTTACTTGTGTGCAGCAATATGAAGTGGTGTCAATAATTGCGGTCCTCCTGGTATATTAGGATTAGCTTTGTATTTCAATAATAGCTGGCATATATCCAACTGGTTCTCCTGTACAGCTAAATGTAGTGCAGTGAGACCCACAGACTAAAAAGAAAATACAGTGTATAAAATAAAATAAATAAATTAATGGTTTTTTTGAGGAAATTATATTTTGCAAATCTACTAAAATTCTAATAGCAACTTCTACCATGTGCTATGTGGGTACCATATTCAATTGATTTTCGCAGATTTTATTTCGCGCAAATCAGGAAGGAATCCGTGAAATTTGCAATTACTTGCTGATGATTAGGGTCAACCCCTCTTTGCAGCAAATAGTGAACAATGGCTGGGGACTTTGAGCGAGCTGCAAACATTAATGGAGTCCAACCATCTTTGTCCCTGAGGTCAAGGTCAGTAAAGACTTCAGCCAATTGAAGCACAATCTACAGCAAAAAGAGTAACATAAACTTAATATAAGGACAGAGAGAAAGAGAGGGGGGAGAGGGAGAGAGAGAGAGAAAGAGAGAGACAGAGAGAGAGAGAGTGAGAGGCATACCCCAATATTACAGTCCCCACAACATGCTCTATGCAGCGGTAGCTCATTCTTGGCATTCCTAATGGTTGTATCAGCATTGTGTTTCAATAGAATCCTTGCCCGATCAAAATAGCAACACCTAACAAAAGAGAATAGCAACAATTAGCAAAAAGTAATTAGCAACAATTCATCCATTAGAGTACATTTGATGTTTTGCCTACAAAGGAATAGACCCTATTGTGTCATATTATGCTAGTGTGTATTAAAAGTGATAAGGAATGTTTGGCAATGCTGCCCAACAGTAGAAGAAATTACTTTCACTTAAGCAAAGAGGCCCATTTACTAATTACACATTTACTGATAGATAGCATGAGCATTATTACAATGCACAGTGAGATTAGTGGGTGTAAGAATCTCAAAGCACGAATAAGTTTTGTTGGACTGTATGAGTGAGTGATGCAGCTACGTGTATAATAGTTTGTAGTAAATAATTAGGTAAAAAATCAAATTAGAGAACAAGGAAATAATATACATCCATAATAAATCGACATTGCCAATGGAAAAAATTAAATTCACCAACTTCATAAAATAAACAAAGGACAACACTTTGCTGCTATGCCAAACTCATATTAACAACTTGTAGACAGGCACTTTAGTTACCTGATGGTGACCAGGAGTGGTGTATCGCCTCTGCTGTTCTGAGCATTGATCAAAGTACCACAAGGAGTGGAGAGAAGGTAAGAGAGAGTCGAGACATGGTTTCCCTGTCCTTCGGGGGATTTGTTCATGCAGGCATAATGAAGGACAGTGTCTCCATCTTTGTCGACCAACTGCCAGTTTGCTCCGTTGTTGAGCAGCATAGCAACAATACCAGCCTGTACAAAAAAGGAAGGGGTAATGAGAGGACATTTCAACATGCAAATTAAATTAAAATAACAAAGTTTACTTGTCCACAGTAGGCCCCTAGATGAAGGAGCGTAGTTGAGGTCCCATCTTTAGTGAGGTTGACATTAAGTCCAGCTTGTAATAGAGCCTGCAGTGCCTGGACATTGCCACTACCACAAGCATTGAAGGCTTTATCCTGAGCACTGATGACTGGCTGACTGCTCAACGGGCTAACTGATAGGTGTGGATTACGTCTTCTCGCCAGTTCTATGATGAGAGAGAGGGAGAGGACAATATCATGAGTGTACTTTCATGTAAGGTCAATCAAGATTCAAAACAGTACTAAGGTCAATATAAATTTACTTTAGAAGGTCAATCATGAATAATTATTTACTTTAGAAGGTCAATCATGAATAATTATTTACATTGATAAGGTCAATCATGAATGTACTTTCAGTGACAGGGAGGTGACACAGAGGTCAATCATGAGTGTACTTTCATTTCTATGATCATATATCCTTACACTAAAGCTTTACATGTACATGTACGTCATACTCCTTGTGTCATCACATCCCTTCTCTCTCTTACCTAACATTCTTGAAGCTAGTTCAGGGGCTGCAAGCCCAATGGGAGTCCGTCCTTCTTTATCCTTCAATTGTACATCAGCTCCATACTCAATGAGTAGGAGAGCAATCTCAGTGAACTCTTTGTGTGCTGCCCAGTGCAGGGGAGCAATGTTCTGAGAGGCACCGGTCACATTAACGTGAGCATTGTTCTTTAATAGGACACGGACAAGGTCAACGTTGCCTCCTCTAGCAGCAAGAAATAAAGGACTGATGCCTGGAGAGCAGGAGAAAAAGAATTGTTGATAATATGAACTGATTGCCAAACTTAGAATGCGAATCATTGATAATCTAATAATGGCTGTCATGATGTAATGTAAAACTGACATGATATAACAACACTCAACAGTATTATTAAATTTTGGGCCTTATTTACATAACTGGCCAAATCTACGTGACATCCCTTACCTTTGTATCAATTAGGCAACTACATAACAAACCCAAACAAGTCATAACACGTAGCAATACAAGAACACAAATCCAGTTAGCACTTGAACTGCAAGTGTGCACTATGTACCTCAGCTGTGTACCCTATGCACTGAGCATGTGTGCCTGTAGGCTGTATGCTGCTAACAAAACTGTAGTATTTCTTGGAAGTGATTAAAATTAGGGACTACTTTGTGATTTTGCATTCTATGCATAGTTTGTAGGATGCGAGTAAGCTATTAGGAAACTTGATAGGACAACATGATATTGCGGCCACAATACGACTTTATCTTGTATAGCTGCATGACATGCAAATTGTTTAAAACAGGTAAACATTACACTCCCTTCTATGTCCCCTTTTGGAAAGTACAATGACACGTAATTGCATCGATAGACAAAACTAACGGCAAAATTTGCTGAATATGCAGCAATTTGCATCAAAACAAAAGCGTACACAAAGCAAAGCACACTGGAGGAATAACACTGCAATTAATGCTTTTAGATACACTTTTGCAGATACTGTAAGATTATGAGGTGATTCCTTTATAATTTATGATCAAATACCTTCTCTGTTAGTGATGTTAGGGTCAGCCTGGTGCTCTAGGAGTGTAACAGCTGATTCAACGTTTCCGCTCTCGACTGAAAGATAAAGTGGGGTCTCTCCTTTCTCCGTTTGAGCGTTGATGTTCTGAGGATGACGCGAAGAGACGAGCAGCTTGAGTATGGCATGATGAGAGACAGAGTTGTGGAGAGGAAGGTAGCTCTCATTGTCTGGCACGTTTGGATCAGCTCCATGCTCCAGCAAGGTCTCCACCGAGCGCTCTAGACCTTTCCTGGCAGCGAGTTTGAGTGCAGTCCAACCTTTGGAGTTCCTCTTGTCAACAGAGAAGGAAACCCCGCGGCTAGACCCGTTGAGGAAGAGCGCGAGTATGTTGGCTCTTTGTTGGTCCTGAGATGGGTCCCCGGCTCGCACAGCAGAATGGAGGAGAGTAGAATCATCCGATAAAAGAATGGACGGCTTGGCCCCTCTCTCCCAAAGAGCCTTCACCCCGTCGTAGAGCCCCAAGAGAGCAAAGCGGTGAAGGAGAGAGGCTCCGTCTGGCCGTGGCTCGAGGACTGCTCCTCCGGTTTGATGAACCAGTTTCACGATGGCGTCCACCATGCTTCCTCCATCTTCCCTCAAAAGCCTACCCAGCGCCCCGCCACCCTCCAAGAGCTCATCCATGTTAGAGGGAACGATCCCGTCAGAGCCCATGATTAGACTGCGCCGCTCACTATCCCTTCCTGGATTTAAAAATGGCTTGAAAAGATGAGATAGTGTCGTTATACAACACAGCAGATTCAATTTGGCTGATGGTGGGCGTTACCAATAACAAAAACTTTAGCCACGCCCCACAGCTGTTGGAATGAACATTGAACAAAGGATTATAAAGCCACTTAAGCCAGGCATACACTAGGCAACATGTTGCTGCCAACTTGCTGGCAACATTTGTGGTTACTTTGATCTTGTAAGCAACATGTTGCCAGAAATAGAACAGCCTTCTATTTCTGGCAACATGTTGCTTACAAAGTAACCACAAAGTTGCCAGCAACATGTTGCCTAGTGTATGGAGGCCTTAACAGTCGTATATCTATGATAATGGTAACCACACATCCCTGCAGGATGCATAGATCTACACATAATGTCTTCAAATAGGCTTGCATTTATTGCTTTAGCTTTAGAATAATTGCTGTTGGAAACCAAGCCTGTTAATAAACTAAGGGAAGACTAAGGGAGGAGCTTAAATGAACCCACGGCCACGATAGCTTTATCAAAAAAGTTCACTCTTAACAAAACATTGCCTAACTTCAGAATCAAATTTTCAGAAAAATTGACGATTAAAATTTTTGGAGGGCATAATTGCCCTTTTGGTCTTTGAACAATGAACACTGAAAATTATTTGATTGTGGCAAGAGTATTGTGCTATAGATGCATTCATTGCTTAAGAATTGCTGTTGCAAATTGCTGAAAAGACGTGCATCACTTAAACAACAAAATATTATAATAATAGAGAATTATCATAACAATAGTCCCATTCAAAAACGTAATTTCTGGAAGAACCATCGATTTTTGCCAGTTTTGTGTCTAAAAAGGAAACATCAGTAGCTGTCACAAAACCAATCCAAATATTACCTTTCCTCTAATTTCTTCTTAATCATAAAACGAGCCCTTCTCCTTCCCTTAAGATCCCTCAGACCTTCTTTGTTCACAACTTGCTTGTCAAAAGGGATGTCCACTGTATATCTAATGGAGAATAATTCCAATATAATACAGCAAGAATCTGGATGCACACTATAATTATGTCCCAATTCACACAACCTTCAACATACACCCACTTCTTAAAAGCATGACAATATGTACACATTATGTGTATTATAAATACTACTAATGTACCTGGTTGGCATGATGTGGTTGTAGTTGAGCACTTTCACAAAGCTCTTGATTCTGGTACGCTTCTTAACTCGCTTCTTTCCCATGTTCTTGGTCACTTTTAGTGGATACTTGTCAATGCCAACGACAAGCGCATGTCCATAGTGACGCTCATTGCTCCCGTCATCATAGTTCTTGATGATGATTCCCTTTCTGCCTGCATATCTTCCCCCAAGGACTATGACAACTTTACCGGGTTTCATGATCTTCCCCATCTTTGCTACACTTCACAAAGGAATAGGTTTGATATACCTACAAATTTACAAAATATACTTAATTGCTAAGCCTGTGAAAGACTTAAAAGGTACAATACATAAGTACTTATGAGGATTATAAAAGATAAAACATCTTTTACCTAAGTTAGAAGAGAGATGGAGGCACCACGTTGAAAGAGGAGAGGCACTAGTTATGAAGAGCATTAATTAGAATCCTAAACTGAAATGGGCGTGTCCCCACGCCCATTAAGGGGAAATTTGAGAGTGATGGAGGATGTCAGCTTAAAAATTCTGATAATAGGAGACAGTGGAGTCGGAAAATCAAGGTAAGGGCTAGGGAGAGTGGGGAGTATAGAGGTTACTTTTATTCCCAGTTTACTCCTCCGGTTCGTCAATAACACCTTTGACCCTGATCAAGCCTCAACTATTGGTTGGTCCCATTTTCTTTCTGACTGGCACAAAGTGTCACTTCTCTATAGGTGTTGATTTTAAAGTAAAGACTGTGCAATTAGCAGGAAAGAGAGTCAAACTAGCAATATGGGACACGGCCGGTCAGGAGAGGTTTAGAACTTTAACCCCTGCTTATTATAGAGGGGCCCAGGGAGTCATTCTGGGTATGTGGTACATACATGTAAATGCATGTTTGTCATGTCCTCTTAATTATATGTACTTGTATTCTAAATTTCTAGTAATCATAAGTTTTATTGGCTGATTTGTATTGATTGGGTTCAATTTCCTATTGTCTTGTTTTGTGTTTTGATTAGTGTATGATGTGTGTTTGCCAGACACATTTGAAGGATTGGAGGTGTGGCTCAATGAATTGGACACTTACGCTACGAAAAAGGATTTGGTGAAGATGCTTGTTGGAAATAAAATTGATAAAGTAAATTTATGTTGTCTTTGCCAAAAAATTGTTTTTAATATCCTTTTGTGTATTTCAAATTTTAAATTTTCAAAAGTTGGGCCAACGTCCCCCTGTACAGAGCCTTTGGCCAAATTTTGGCAAAAATGACTACGAGAGAATTTTTATATATTTTTTCTGATACATATCCTTCTTATGTTGTGTAGATGGTTTGAGCTGATTCCGACTTTTTCCTAATTTTTAGAATTACTCAAAAATCAAGCCAAAGTCCCTGTACTTGGCCAAATTTTGGCAAAAATGACTTGGAGAGAATTCTCCATTTTAATAATTTTTCCTGATACATGTACATGTACTCATGTTATGTAGCAAGTTTGAGCTGATTCTGATCAAAATTGGATTTTTACGAATTTTTAGAATTACTCAAAAATCAGGCCAAAGTCCCTGTACTACAGTATGCAGGGACTTTGGCTAAATTTTGGTAAAAATGACTCAGACACAATTCTCCATTTTTGTAATTTTTTGATACATATACATGTTCTTATGCTATGTTGAAAATTTGAGTTGATTCCAATGAAAATTAGATTTTTTAGGAATTTTAAAGTTACTCCAAAAGCCATATACATGCACTATTGTGGTGCTTGTCAGTTAATGAAGAGTGCTGTTCAGCTTACCTTGCATGCTTTATGTAAAATCTAGTGATTTGGAGTCAATTTTGGAATAAAATTGTAATGTATATTAGTGTGTATTTAGACTCTATCAATAATTCCATATTTATACACATTAATAGACTGAAAGAAAAATATCAAGAGCAGATGGACTCCAGTTTGCCCGAAGAAACTCTATGCTATTTATAGAATCCAGTGCCAAAACAAGAGACGGAGTGCAAGAAGCCTTTGAAGAGCTTGTGCAAAAGATTCTACAGAACCCTGACCTCTACACCGAAAATACATCAACTGTAAATGTATCATCGAATCCTTCATCGGGGAGTGAGCCGCCATCATTGTGTGGCTGTTCACTGGTCTAACAGTTGTAAACTGGTTGTGCATTGCTAATAATTTTGTCTGTGATAACAATAATAATTAATACTTTATAATAAAAAATGAATAGATATTATTATTATTATTATGACTCAAAATGGTTTGAATTTTCTGTTAGCTCTCATCGCTGCAACTTTCTGCTGGTCTTCTTGAAACTTTTTCCTCAACTCTGCTATTCGTTCACGCTGCTTTTCTCTTTGCTGGAAGGCATAAAGCATCAAGAACTGTGGCTTCTTTTTCTTTCTTTTTGGCCTACAAGTTTATAGTAATTCAGGCAGTTAAAAAAAGAGAGGAGTGACTGCCTGAATCTTACTTCTCAACAATAGGAGTTTTCTTTGTCACCGTAACCCAACCATCTTCATCCGGTTCACTCAGATGTTTCTTTCTCTTCTTCTCACTCTCAACCCATTCATCGTATGCTGTAACTCCAGACTCTGCTGCCTTCTCTAAGAGACTCTCAACAGGATATCGTTCCTGATATTCCCTTGTCCATTTCTTTAATCCTGTATCACCGACACAGCACGAGAGAGGAGGAGACCCAGTGGAACAAAGTGACAAAGCACGAGACACTTCCTCATCTTCTTTGAAAACAATGTAGCTGTAATGAATTACAAAAATAATGTACATTAATTAAGTAGTAGTGTGTGGGTGTAATCACAAGGAGTGGCTAATAAAATAAACCACACCTACCCAATCATATAGCCTCCTGTCTGTGGCTGCTCATTTTCAATAGCCTTAGTCCCTTCTTGTAGATACACTCCTTCCACTTGACCTACAAGACGCGAGAAGAGTTCCTGAATGGAGTCCCTACCGCAATATGGCGGCCAACCGGTTGTAAAGAGAGTCCTTTGGTTGGGTATCTTTGTAGAGGGCTGTCTCACTGAGTGTCTCTTACAGTATATTGTGTGCTGGGAAGAAGAGCCTCGAGAGGTTGAGAATTTTATCTTTAGTTCGTCCATTCTGCAGCACGTGGGTTTCAATTAATTAATTTTATTGAGCCACACCCTCTTGCTCCAGCGAGATGATGTACGCATTAACTTCTTTCTTGATTCTCTGTATCTCTGGCGCTGTCTATGGGACTACCAGCTGTGAGGTGATTGGCTCTTGTAAAGCTTCGTGCAGTGGGAATGTGATTGATCTTTCAATCATCCTTGGAAACTCTTTACCGTGAGAATTAGCACTATTATAAAATAGTTTAATTTGTGCATACACACAGTTTGCAAGTAATTGATCTAGCTGATGGGAACAAGAGCAAAGAAAGCCTCTTTTTCTTGGCCCCCTGTCAAGGCTATCACTGTGGCATGGAGAGTGCAGAGGCAGCCGTAAGTATACAGTTAATGATCTTCACTGTCAACACATGATCTTCATGTACATGGTGCTAGATTTGTCAAGAGATTTCAAATGATTTTATAAGCTGTGGGTTACTCAACGAAACAAGTTGGCGTTTTGAAACACTCTTTCCATATCGGTTTACTGTCACATTCACGGGTGGCGATGGTAGAAGGTAGAGTGTCAATTGGTTAATTACAGACGCATGCACTCCCATCATAGGATGTCAACTATCAAGTTTGAGGAAAATTTGTCCTTGAATAGCCTTAACTCAAGCTACCTTGATGAATACCCAGACAATCATTATGTAAGTGATTCTGAAGCTAACATTGCCTAACAATAATTGCCGTCTCACTGTTAATTGCTTGATAGAACTTTAAAGTGACTGGCCCTTGCATACGTCCAGGGTCTTGCACTAGCTCATCCAATTATGCTGGAATGATAGGATTTATCATAATCACATTGTGAGTTATCTTTGAAATAAGCTTTAACATTGTATGTACATGTAGGTTTCTCATTGTGGTTGTGTTGTACTTGGGCATTGGGTCAATTGTGATGTATTGCAGAGGAGCAAGGAGGATTGAACTAATACCACACATCTCCTTTTGGAGACAATTCCCACAACTTGTCAAGGTATGCATTAAGTAGACCACCTGCTCCTGTTTAATTGTACATGGGACAAGCTGTGAACAACTTTATTATTGCAATCATGTGCATGCAACTGAACTCCTAACAGTAATACTGCAGCATTCATGCTCCCTTGGTTTATATATATATATATAGGAAGGTTGTTTGTATGCAACAGGACCTTGTTGCTGTTGGGAGAAGACTGACTATAATGAACTACCTGATGTCAAAATTGTCAATGTTGCTTTGTGATATTGGACTTTCAACAATGGATGAAAATACACTGTTATCACAATCAAGAACACATTTGTCACAATTAATTCTCTCTGTATCATATTGATTAATCCTTTCCAGTGAATGTATTGTATTGTATTGTAGGAATTTTTAGTAGATTTATTCATCAAACTGTTGGAGCACACGTGTATTCACGTGTGTTGCAATCTAAGGGCGTGGTCTTAGGATTGTTTTATTGCTTAGATCAGGGAAAATGTCCATTGTCCTCCCCCTCGTCTTTGTCTGTGCTTCTGTCGTTGGAGTCTCTGCAATTTGTGACAAGGACCAAGATGATGGCTGTAGAGTTACCTGTGATGGAACAGTACTGGACATATCTAACCTTTTATCCTACCCGTGAGTATGTATATATTCATAGCCTTAGACTAACTGTCTTGTTATTCAAATCAGGTACAAGATTACAGTGGATGATAACAATGTGGGGGAATATTTCACATATAGTCCGTGTAATGGATTTGATTGTGGCTCAATTGATGGCAGCCTTGTGAATTTTGATAGTTTGCCTCAACATCGTATTATATTTATTATTTATAGATCTGTCTGAATCGAGACGATTCACATAAGGACAGTTGTGGGACATTTGCCTCATCGTGGGTAATCACTAAAACTAATCCCCTGACTTTTAGTATTCTCTATGCATGTCAATTAGGACAAGATTGCACGTAAGTCCTCATTTTGACTAAATTTAATATTGGTTCCATGGATAGGAGCTCATTCTTCACGTTTACTCAAACTGATGATGAAGAAACAAAGGTTGTCTATAAGTCACAAGAAGATGGTGCATATGTAAGAATGTCTCCCTCTCTCTCTCTCTCATTATTTGTATACCTTATATAGCAATTTCAAGTGACTGGGAAATGTGTTGGACAAATAAATTGTGTTAATGAACCATCTGATGGCCACAAGAAGAAGAGTGTTATTGGCCCTGCTGGACTGGTCCTTATGATCTTGTAATTATGTCACAGAATAGTTTGTGTTATCACTCTTATGCTTTCACTAGGTTTTTTGCTGCTTTGTTGATCTATTTCATAGCTGGTGCTTTAGTAATGAAATATCACAAACAAGCAACAGGGAAGGAACTTATTCCAAACTACCTTTTCTGGTCAGAACTACCATTTCTTGTTAAAGTAATAAATAAATATAATGATCACTGGGTGCTAATTTTAACTTCTCTCACTATATAGGATGGCTGTTTATTTGTTATTTCTCCTTGCCGCAAAAGAAAAGGCTATGAAGCACTATGAAACAATTGTAACACATACATCATCAGTATCATTATTACTATCATTATTATTTATATTTTTATATAAAATATTTTTGTTGCTATTATTTATTGTAGACACTACTCTGATACTCTAATTATTCTATACAGCAGAGAGTAGCATTGTCTATGTTACTCTTTACTGTATACTAAATTATGATCATGTGATATATTTATACTATCATCAGTTTTCAGCCATACAATACTAGTAAAACTATATCTGCCAGTGTTCTCTTACTCCTAGAGCTACTCACTGCAGTTTCTGCTGATTCTATTGTTTATAGTGACAATAGCTGTAAAGACAGCCAACTACAGTGGAACAATAATTGTTATTGCAATGATATGTTGGAGCACACGTGTATTCACGTGGATGTGTATTATTGCATTATATTGCCATGGGAAGGGCGTGGTATTGTAAATTAGATCACACTCACAGGCAGGATAATCACATACCTTGTCCAAAAATGTCTCCCATTGTCCTTCTTATTGTGTGTGTCTCTGTTGCTGGAGTCTCTGCTGATAGTGTAGATTGTACCCCGGACCAAGATAATGGCTGTAGAGCGACCTGTGATGATGGAACAACACTGGACATATCTAGCCTTTTATCCTACCCGTGAGTGTGTATTCATAGCCTTACACTAACTATTTAGTTTATTCAAATCAGGTACAAGATTGCAGTAGATGATAACAGTGTGGGTCAATATTTCACATATAGTCCGTGTAGTGGACTTGACTGTGGTGCACTTGATGAAATCACTGTGAGTTTATCATTTCTACGTTGTTATCAATGCATGTTGCCACATTAGCACCGCATGTATACATGTACTTTCAAGTCTCAAACAGGGGACGGTCTTCTATTTTACTGTCTTTAATTTGTACTATGCAGCATATGTATACCCAGGGTTTTTAATTGAAAGAGGCTTTTATTCAAGAGTAATAATGGTACTAATCGACATTAATTTAATTATGCATGTAGGTTTGTTTGGATAATCAAGGTAATTGTGGGAGTACTCACTCTTCAATGTGGGCAGTCACTAAAAAAGATCCCCTTACATTCACTGTTGAATACAGCTGTGGAGTTGGGACTTTTTGCACGTAAATTCTACTTTTTATTAAACCTATATCATCGTTTCGCCAATAGAAGTTCAGCGTTCACATTTGTGCAGAATGATGATGAAGAAACAAAGGTTGTCTATACATCACAAGAAGATGGTGCATATGTAAGAATGTCTACCTCTCTCTCTCATTATTTGTATACTTTATAGCAATTTCAAGTGACTGGGAAATGTGTTGGACAAATGAATTGTGTTAATGAACCATCTAATGGCCACAAGAAGAAGAGTGTTATTGGCCCTGCTGGACTGGTCCTCATGATCTTGTAATTGTGTCACAGAATAGTTTGTGTTATCACTCCCATACTTTCACTAGGTTTTTTGCTGCTTTGTTGATCTATTTCATAGCTGGTGCTTTAGTAATGAAATATCACAAAGGAGCAACAGGGAAAGAACTTATTCCAAACTACCTTTTCTGGTCGGAACTACCATTTCTTGTTAAAGTAATAAATAAATATAAATATTGGGTGCTAATTATAACTTCTCTCACTATAGGATGGCTGTTTATTTGTTATTTCTCCTTGCCGCAAAAGAAAAGGCTATGAAGCAATATGAAACAATCATCATCAGCATCATCATCAGCATCATCAATATCATTATTTTTTTATTTTTATATAAATATTTTTGTTACTATAATTTATTGTAGACGCTACTCTAATTTTTATAGTCTATATTACTCTCTACTGTATACTAATAAATTATGATCATGTAATATATTGTTACTATCATAACTTTCCAACGTAGTAAAGCTATTCTGCCAGTGTTCTCTTACTTCTAGGGCTGCTCACTGCAGTCTCTGCTGATTGTACTGTCTATAGTGACAATAGCTGTATAGCCAACTACAGTGGAACAACAATTGTATTGTGTTGTAGGAATGTTAAGTAGATTTATTCATTTAAACTGTTTGAGCACACGTGTATTCACGTGGATGCATAGATCTAAGGGCGTGGTGTTGAGGCCTTGAGCTATGAGGATAAGATCAGGCAGGATAATCACAGGCATTATCTTTAAAATGTCGTCCATTGTCCTTCTCATTGTGTGCGCCTTTGCTGCTGGAGTCTCTGCTAATAATGTTGATTGTACCTTGGATCAAGATAATGGCTGTAAAGCGACCTGTGATGATAGAACAGTACTGGACATATCTAGCCTTTTATCCTACCCGTGAGTGTGTATTTATAGCCTTACACTAACTATTTAGTTTATTCAAATCAGGTACAAGATTATAGTAGATGATAGCAAATATTTCACGTATAGTCCGTGTAATGGACTCGAATGTGGTGCACTTAGTGGAATCACTGTGAGTTTTTATTTCTACGTTGTTACCAATGCGGAGCCTGAAATTGCATTAAGACGATGATCAGACATTGTATTTAAACATTGCTTAATTTGATCTGCCATTTTTATGAAATGATCGGACAGGGTTTTCCACAGGATTTCATAGTCTTCATGCAGCCTCTTGTCCCAGTACTATAGTATATTTAGAAAAAATTAAAATGAGGGGATTTTCTATTTTTATATTTTTTTTCCTGGTGCATGTACATGTTTTTATGCTGTGTAGAAAGTTTGAGCTGATTCCGATCAAGTTTAGATTTTATACAAATTTTTAAACTTGCTTAAAAGTTGAGCCAAAGTACCTGTACATAGTAGAGGGATTTTAGCCAAATTTTATCAAAACTTAAAAATAGAGAATTCTCCATGTTTGTAATTTTTCTTGCTGGTACGTTATGTTGTGTAGAAAGTCTGAACTCATTCTGATCAATATAGTCGGAAAATGTCTGATTCCAACTGTTATTTTAGGTTCTACAATACATGTTTTAGTACCATATTTCTCTCAAACAGAGGATGGGCTCCTATTTTTCTGTTTTTAATTTGTACACAGATTCTTTTATTTGAAAGTTCTTCTATACTTATGCAGCATGTAGACCCCAGGCTCTAATTGAGAGAGGCTTTTATTTAAGAACAATAATGATGTTAGCTGATGTCAATTTAATTATACACTGTAGGTCTGTTTGAATAGTCAAGATAATTGTGGGAGTACTGATTCTTCAACGTGGACTCTCACTAATAACAATCCCCTTACATTCACTGTTGAATACAGCTGTGGAATTGGGACTGAGTGCACGTAAGTTCTTATTTTTATTAAACCTATATCATTGTTTCACCAATAGAAGTTCAGTATTCACATTTATGCAGAATGATGACAACGAAACAAAAGTTACATATGCTGAACTACACAATGATGCATATGTAAGAATGTCGATTTCCCTCTTTCTCATTATTTGTATACCTTATATAGCAATTTCAAGTGACTGGGAAATGTGTTGGACAAATGGATTGTGTTGAGGAACCACCAAGTCAACCATCTGATGGTCACAAAAAGGAGAGTGTTATTGGCCCTGCTGGACTGGTCCTTACAATCTTGTAACTGTGTCACAGAATAGTTTTGTGTTATCACTCCCATACTTTCACTAGGTTTTTTGTTGCTTTGTTGATCTATTTCATAGCTGGTGCTTTAGTAATGAAATATCACAAAGGAGCAACAGGGAAGGAACTTATTCCAAACTACCTTTTCTGGTCGGAACTACCATTTCTTGTTAAAGTAATAAATAAATATAAATATTGGGTGCTAATTATAACTTCTCTCACTATAGGATGGCTGTTTATTTGTTATTTTTCCTTGCCGCAAAAGAAAAGGCTATGAAGCAATATGAAACAATTGTAACACATACATCATCAACATTATAATAATAATTATTATTATTATTTGTATTTCTATATAAGATATTTTGTTGCTGCTATTAGACACTACTCTGCTGCTCTATTTATTCTATACAGCAGAGAGTAACATTGTCTATGTTACTCTCTACTGTATACTAAATTATGATCATGTGATATATTGTTACTATCATAACTTTCCAACGTAGTAAAGCTATGTCTGCCAGTGTTCTCTTACTTCTAGGGCTGCTGACTGCAGTTTCTGCTGATTGTATTGTTTATAGTGACAATAGCTGTAAAGCCAACTGCAGTGGAACAGTATTAGACATATCTAACTTAGTGACTTACCCGTAAGTAAGTAAATGCATTATTACCTTTGCTTCATATAGCTTTTTTTTTGACGCTAGATACCAAATTGATATAAATCAAAATGACGGCACACCAATTGGTAAATATTTTTCATATAACCCATGCCAGGGGATAGGTTGTGTGTCAACAGATGATAATAGTGCTGTGAGTTATGGAGAGAGAAAAGAGAAGCAATTGACACATAAGAACATTCTAGGTCTGTTTGATAAAGGATAGTAGTGAGAAAGTCAGTTGCGGCCTGATTACCAGTAGCTCTACTGTATGGCAGTTAATTAGTAGTGATCCATATGAATTCACTATTCAGTATGGCTGTGATATCGGTGCAGACTGCCAGTAAGGATATCAATAATAATAATAGTAATTGAAGTATGCTTTAAACACAGGGCCTCATTATTTACATTCACACAGACTAAAGACAAAGACGTGAGTGTTGCTTATACAGGAGGTTCAACCGATTATTATGTAAGCACGAATGTTTTTGTAGCATTTTACATTTATTCGTTATAGGAGTTTGCTATAAAAGGTAAATGTGTGGGACAGAATAGTTGTGAAGAGCCTCATCACGAGGATGCTGTAGATGTCACTGGTCTTCCTGGTTTGATCCTCATTCTCTTGTAATCATCTCACACTAATGCACCTCCTCCTATCACTTTCTCTCCTTTTAGATGTCTTGTTGGCTTAGCTACATACTTCATTGCTGGTATTCTGGTGATGAAGTTTGTCAAAGGAGCTACAGGAAAAGAACTCATTCCCAATTATGCTTTCTGGTCGGATTTACCTTATCTCATTAAGGTAATACACTACATGATGATAGTTTATACTTCATAGTTTTAAAGCTTGTAGCTATTATTGATGATCTTTATTTCCTAGGATGGCTGCTTGTTTGTTGTCAGTCCTTGCCTCCAACGAAAGATTGACTATGAGAAAATATAAATTATATTTATATTAAATGATTATATCTTGTGCGAGTGACACTGGCTGTTGAATATTGTTTGCGTGAAATGATTCTAGTAGTCTACTATTGATAGCGATTGTTGTAGTACGTTATCACTATTGTCATGTGGGTGTTGTAATAACTTACAATAAACGAGACCATTGAATTGAAGCTCGTGGTATATGGTTAGCCATGTATGCCTTCAGTATCCTTTTTCTGTTTCTTGGACTAACTTCAGCAGTGACTGTTACTGATTGTGACATTGACCCACAAAACAGTTGCAGAGTAAATTGCAGTGGAACAATAGTAGATATATCTGATCTTGTAAATTATCCGTAAGTGTAGACATGGTGTAAATTAAGCCTTAGCTAAATATATAATACTGATATTGTTGATAGATACAATATATCTCTAAGCCCAAGTATTCCAGTAGGCAACTACTTCCTCTACAATCCTTGTACAGGAGTGAAGTGTGAAACTAGTGATGAATATTTAAGTGCAGTAAGTAAGCCCTGAATGATTGCTATTTTAAATTCAAATTTTAAAGAAGTTTTTGTTAACACTTACTTTTACATCCTGAAGTGCTAATTGGGTGTCAAAATCAAACACTTGTGCTTTATAGGTTTGCCTCTCTGATGATGATGGTAGCTACAGCTGTGGTAGACTGGCAGAAAGCTCTGCAACATGGGAGATGACTAATACCAATCCATACAAGTTCACTATTCATTATGAAGGGGGAGATTGCACTGGAAATGATTGCAAGTATTGACATATCAATGAATATCAGCCACTTATGAGTACTTAATTATTGCAGGACCTCACTATTCACATTCTCAGAGACTGATAGCAGTGCTGTGAGTATTAAATACAAAGGGTTGGGTAACGGTGACTATGTAAGTATTGTCTATGCTTGTAAATGTGTTATCTTCTAGCTATTAGCAATTTGAGGTGACTGGCAAGTGTATTGGACAGAATGGTTGTGATCTAACACCTTCTCCTCGTCATGCAAACATATCTGGCTATATAGGATTTATTCTCATTGTATTGTAATGAAACCTAGTGCATTGAATTTACCAATGTTATTATGTTCACATTTTAGGTCATTAGTGGCCCTGTTAGTATATTTCATAGCAGGTATTCTAATTATGAAATTCTACAAAGGAGCAACAGGAAGGGAACTGATTCCTAACTATGCTTTCTGGTCTGGGCTACCGCTCCTTGTTAAAGTATGCTTGGGTTAATTTTCTTCATTAAATAATTTTAATTTGCTGGTAGGATGGCTGTCTATTTACAATCAGTCCATGTTGCACCAAAAGAAAAGAATATGACTCTATTTAATTAGAGTTTTAGACTATTCTATAATCATGAATCTATGATTGTCAGATTGTGCTATCTAATCTAAAACATGATGAATAAAATTATTTTTACCACCACGCCTATCATCAAAGCAAGGCTAAGGCGTTTCAGCTACAGAAAGGCGAGGATGCAGTTGCAGGCTCATATTCTCATTCTTCTTTGTTTCGTTTCAACACTAATAGTTCTACATGTAGATGCAACAGACTGTGACGTGTCATCTTCTTGTATAGCAAGGTGCAAAGACAAATCTTTTAACCTGAAAAGAATTTTAGGCTCTAAGACGTAAGAATTGTCAGTGCTAGTACTGAACTACTCCTTTTATTTCATAGTAAAACTATACAAGATACTGATGAATCTAATGGTGTCTACTATTTCCTAGTTGATTTATGCAAAGGAGTGTCTTGTAGTGATGTGCCAAAAGCTGCAGTAAGTTTTATGATGGGTGGATCTGTTGTCCAGCTACACCCATTTTAAAGATGATCTGGCCTTAAATTTGCTGGGAGTAACTTCGGTGGCTACCATGTAACTTTAAATAGGTCACAGTTCTAATTCATGTTGCATGTTGGCTAACAAAGCAGTTGTTGCATGCTTGTTTTTATGCAGATATGTCAGAAAAAGCAAAATGGTACAAGTGCTTTCAGTCTTGGCCCACTTTCTAGCGGTTTAGTGACTCTTTCCAATACATCAGATTTCACTGTAACATATAATGGGTATACTCAAGGAGACGGCAACTTAAGGTCAGTTAGTGCATGCTGACTTATTGCACATTATCCTGTCATTCAGGGTAGCAATAATTAATTTTATTCATGGAAAGAAGTCTGACTTCAAATATGAACGAGAAGAATCAGGTGGTGTTAGCACAATAAATTATGTAAGTGATAATTATGATAATAAAAATAATAGTATTCTATTAATTGTCAGTATTTCTCTGTTGGATATACTGATGAATCAGCACCTGTTGGATATGTGGGATGGGGTATCATTGCATTGTAAGTTTTCTAACACTAAATATATTTATAAACATACTTTCTTATTAGTGCTTTAATAGCTTTTGCTATTTATTTCATTGTTGGTATCATCTATATGTATTTTGCTAAAGGAGCACGAGGGATTGAAGTCATTCCACATTTAAATTACTGGAAGAGTCTCCCATCACTCATTATAGTAATGCTACAAGAGTCACATGCATGTTATATGACTCTCATTATAGGAAGGATGCTTGTTTGTTGTTAGTCCGTGCCGTAGGAAACTCAAAGGTGGAGGAGAGTATGAAAAAATCTAACAAATCTAGCTGAACTATATAGGATTTAAAGTGAGACAGCAATGAATCACTCATCATTATTTTTTATTTCTCAGCTGCTGTTTGCTTATTAGTTTCTACTACTGTTTGCTTTTCATTTGGATAAAACATTTTTTTATTTTTGTTGACTATTAGATCTAATTATTAATAATGAAACTTGTAATAACATAAGCGTGGGTTGGTTCATGGTCACATGATCTGTTTTAAGGAATTGAAATGGCGTGTAGTCTTGTTCTCTTTCTTTGTCTCGTGTCTTTCCTGATCGATTTCTCCAGCGCGACTAATTGTACTAAGGTGTCTGGTAAAGCTTGTCAGGCAACCTGTAATGGGAAAAAATATGACTTGAGTCATGTTACAAAATCAGCGTAAGTCTTGTTCTTAATATATATATAGATGATATTCATTCAAGTAAGAACATAACTGATTCAGATGATGGCTATTATTACTTGGTTAATTTTTGTGAGCAAGTCAAATGTGGTCAAAATAATGGCGTAGCTGTAAGGATAGTGAATGAATGATGTTTTAATTGCAAATTAATAGATTTGTCAGGGGAAAGGTATCCGCTATTTTAGTCTTGGTACAATTGATTCTGCTTTCTGGACTACATCTGACTCATCTGGAGATTTTAATGTAACAATTCATGGGACTACTCAAGGTGATGGCACAGTAAGGTCAGTGACATTAGAAGTTAAGTCGTCATTAATATTAATGTGGTATTTATAGGACAGCTATAATCATGTTCACTTCTGGAAAGAAAAATAGCATCGATTTTAATGGTGAAGGTCAAGGGGCTAATCAGAACACCTATGTGAGTTTAATAAATGTAATCTTGATGGAGTCTTCTTCCTAGTATTTTACAGGTACTTATCATGGTGGTAGTGAGAGTATTGCGGGAGCAATTGGCTGGGTTTTGATTTCAGTGTAAGATCAATAAAAGATACTTCCTTATCTCTTTACTACACATAAACACACTTCTAGTGCTCTGGTTGCTCTTGTTATTTACTTCATTGCTGGAATTCTTTTTATGTATATTGTTAAAGGTGCACGAGGTCTTGAAGTGATTCCCAACGTCAACTTTTGGAAGAGTCTCCCACTACTCATTGTGGTAACCACAGAACATATGACATCCCACACGACCTTGTTCTCTCTCCCTCTCTTTCTTTTCCTCTGTAGGAAGGATGCTTGTTTGTCGTCAGCCCATGTCGCAAAAAATTTGGCAAAAATGAGTACGAAAAAATATAGCATCATTGTTTGGTGTCTTTGTGTGTGTGTGTGAGGTACTAATAAGAGCAGTTTAAATTCTTAAATCAAGGAAAGCTGGGGGACGTTTCTATGCATAACACAAAATATTATAATTATTAAAAAATCTATAATGTATCATTTTTGGTTTTTTGAGTATTTTTTGAGTCTCTGCTCTTGATCAAAATGCAAATATTGTTCGCGTAGCTCTCGGCAGAATGTGTGAAAGTTGTTGTCTTTGTTAAGCCTTGATATGAGGCCAGGGATATCTTGAATCTGAGGATCACTGGAAATAACTGAGGAAAGAGAAAAAATAATTGAAACGTGAACAAAAACCCTTGATGACTGATGACACACACACACAAGGTTTATAATAACAATCAAAATGTTGTGGCTAACATTGTTATTGATTATTGATGTAGGGTACTTTCATTTTACTTGATTACTTCTCATATACGTGTACTTACATGTCCATTCACGAGTGTTTTCATCAATTGCTAAACTCATAGAAAACTCTCTTTTGTGGTCAGTAGCATCAATGTTAGTGAAAATGATAGTAATCATGTGCTCTATAGAAGTACAACAGAGGCATAATAATAATTATTAGGAGTGTAGTAATCTTACCAGCTGTTGTTTTGAATTCCAGACCACAATACTCTTTGAACATGTCACTCTGTCTCATTATCCTAATATTATCTTCATCATCTACTGGTTGGGACTGGACTACAGTATACACAAGGAATGATACAGTATTACAGTAAGCTACCCACTAAACCACTAAATACTACACCATGGCAATATCAATTACATGCTAAACCCATAGAATAGAATAATTCACTGAAATCTGTCAAGTGAATTTAAAATTGAATTTACATACATGCATAATAATTTTAAAGATAATTCTTACTTTCAGAAATCTTATTCCTCGCTGTTGTACATTCTGCTTTTAGCTTCTGGGTCTGCTTCAGCACTGAGTGTGAATGGTTATTATTATTTTAAAAACATTAGAGCCTCAACTCACATTGCTTTGTTTCCTGTCTCCTTTTGTGCCATTTATCTAGATTGTTCTGAAAACTCTGTATCGTCTCAGTTTCTAAAACAACAAAACACGCACGCAATTAATTATACATGAATGGTTAAATTGAGCAAGTAAATGTACATGTAGTTTGGTGTAACACAAAAATTAAATCAGTATTATACCTCAAACTTCCTACATGCATGATTACATGCACAATTGTACATGTAGCAGTATCGGAATCAGCTGGCTGAAAATATAATACAGAACGTAAGTACATGTACATGTATATGCAACAGAAAATGTAATAAAAATTCAGGTTTCAGTTTCGACAAAATTTGGCCAAAACCATATTTGGGAGAAAAGCATCAGCTTTTTAAAAAATGGCTATAACTCAAAAAACTCCATATGCATAAATACATCAATATGCATCAGAAAATGTAATAAAAATTGGGGATGATTTTGGAGCCATTTTTCAGAAAAAATCATGGGCTATAGTACAGGGTACTTTTCAGAAAATGGCCATTTTTAAAAAACGGCCATAACTCAAAAAATTTCAGTTGGAATTAGCCCAAACTTTCTACATAGCATAAGGACATCAATATGTATCAGAAAATGTAATAAAAATTGGGGTTGATTTCGGAGCCATTTTTCGCAATAAACCATGGGCTATAGTACAGGGTACTTTTCAGAAAATGGCCATTTTAAAAAATGGCCATAACTCAAAAAATTTCAGTTGGAATTAGCCCAAACTTTCTACATAGCATAAGGACATCAATATGTATCAGAAAATGTAATAAAAATTTGGGGTGATTTCGGAGCCATTTTTCAGGGAAAACCATGGGCTATAGTACAGGGTACTTTTCAGAAAATGGCCATTTTTAAAAAATGGCCATAACTCAAAAAATTTCAATTGGAATTAGCTCAAACTTTCTACATAGCATAAGGACATCAATATGTATCAGAAAATGTAATAAAAATTGGGGTTGATTTCAGAGCCATTTTTCGGAAAAAACCATGGGCTATAGTACAGGGTACTTTTCAGAAAATGGCCTTTTTTTAAAAATGGCCATAACTCAAAAAATTTCAGTCAATATTAGCTCAAACTTTCTACATAGCATAAGGACATCAATATGTATCAGAAAATGTAATAAAAATTGGGGTTGATTTCAGAGCCATTTTTTGGAAAAAACCATGGGCTATAGCACAGGGTACTATTCAGAAAATGGCCAATTTGAAAAAACGGCCATAACTCAAAAAATTTCAGTTGGAATTAGCCCAAACTTTCTACATAGCATAAGGACATCAATATGTATCAGAAAATGTAATAAAAATTGGGGTTGAGTTCGGAGCCATTTTTCGCAATAATGGCCATTTTAAAAAATGGCCATAACTCAAAAAATTTCAGTTGGAATTAGCCCAAACTTTCTACATAGCATAAGGACATCAATATGTATCAGAAAATGTAATAAAAATTGGGGTTGATTTTGGAGCCATTTTTCGCAATAATGGCCATTTTAAAAAATGGCCATAACTCAAAAAATTTCAGTTGGAATTAGCCCAAACTTTCTACATAGCATAAGGACATCAATATGTATCAGAAAATGTAATAAAAATTGGGGTTGATTTTGGAGCCATTTTTCGCAATAATGGCCATTTTAAAAAATGGCCATAACTCAAAAAATTTCAGTTGGAATTAGCCCAAACTTTCTACATAGCATAAGGACATCAATATGTATCAGAAAATGTAATAAAAATTTGGGGTGATTTCGGAGCCATTTTTCGGGAAAAACCATGGGCTATAGTACAGGGTACTTTTCAGAAAATGGCCATTTTAAAAAATGGCCATAACTCAAAAAATTTCAATTGGAATTAGCTCAAACTTTCTACATAGCATAAGGACATCAATATGTATCAGAAAATGTAATAAAAATTGGGGTTGATTTCAGAGCCATTTTTCGGAAAAAACCATGGGCTATAGTACAGGGTACTTTTCAGAAAATGGCCTGTTTTAAAAAATGGCCATAACTCAAAAAATTTCAGTCAATATTAGCTCAAACTTTCTACATAGCATAAGGACATCAATATGTATCAGAAAATGTAATAAAAATTGGGGTTGATTTCAGAGCCATTTTTTGGAAAAAACCATGGGCTATAGCACAGGGTACTATTTAGAAAATGGCCAATTTGAAAAAATGGCCATAACTCAAAAAATTTCAGTCAATATTAGCTCAAACTTTCTACATAGCATAAGGACATCAATATGTATCAGAAAATGTAATAAAAATTGGGGTTGAGTTCGGAGCCATTTTTCGCAATAAACCATGGGCTATAGTACAGGGTACTTTTCAGAAAATGGCCATAACTCAAAAAATTTCAATCGATATTAGCTCAAACATTCTTCATAGCATAAGGACATCAATATGTATCAGAAAATGTCATAAAACTTTCATCCTTAACTTAAAATCTGATGTCTCATATTTCTTACTTCTTTCTAGGTTTGACTTTTTGTTTCTTACGTCTGTCAATATCTCAGTCAATTCTTTTTCTTTTCTATCCCGAGAAACTCTAAGTTCAGCCAGTAAGGCCCTACCAATGTCAAGAGCCTCTGTCATCTTGATCTTGGATTAACCGGAATAACCGCCAAAATTTTTTAAAATTTCATACATGGGCATCAATTAGAAAGGGTTAATAAATTTACGAATAGATTAATAAGCACAATAAATTAATTATTTTTAATGAATAATTAAAAGGTCATTTGGAATCAAAACCCAAAGCAGGAAAATGACACTTCTGGCTATTATAATAAATATCAGCAAGGAAAATTACCTTCCCAGCTATGCCTAAAAATACAAATGCAATGTATGAAATAAACAGCATGGATAGCATCTACCTTCAAAAAGAGAAAAGGGTCTATCAGGCAGTTTTCCTGCTTCTGTCTCTGTCATACACCATTCACAAAACTATCATAAAAGTATGTTAGCTCTAAAACTTCAATAAAATAATATTCTACAAACAGATAAAGCTTTTATGTAAACATAAAAAGCAAGTGATTTATTACATTTATTGAGCACACAAACCAGCTTGTGCCTGACACTTGCCTTTATAGCACGATGGAGATGATAGTCCTGACCAGTTGACTGGTATAAACTCAGTAAAGAGTAGGCATTGCCAGCAGTACCATGACACAGACCAAAACCTTTGAGAAGCAGTCCTCTTTCCCAAATAACTTCCCCACATTTTTCCATAGCAATCAAATACTTCTCATCATGAAAAACCTATTAATATTTAAAAAATATAATCCATGCATGCATAATCATACTTTATAAGCCATTCCTAGCATGTGTACAAAACCTGGTGCACCATGGCACCACTGAACTAGTTTATCATTTGAACAAGACTCTAAACTAGAGGGAAAGTTTCCAGTTGAGAATTGAAGTGTAAGAAGTTTATCGATTGTGGACTTGATGGCATCAATGTGACTAGAGATAGATTTTAAGTGAATTGCCTATAATTATAAAACAAAGCTGATAACAAGAGCTGTATTGAAACTATTTTTTATTACTTGCATCAAGACTGTGAGTATTCCAGCAAGACCATGAGCAGCTCCTAAATAATGTTTCTCATGCCAAGTATACATTAAAGGAAACTCAGAGTCTTTTGTACTGGAACTGAGTATTAACTGAGAGATCTGGCTAGTAATAAAATGAGAAAATGCATACATTATGATCAGCACATGTTTACACTTTTTGGTTTTTTACTTTACAAGCAATCAGTGCGAGTGAAATTAGCAGACATTTATCTGTACAAACTTGCTAATAGCAGTCATTAAAGTATATTAGAAGTGTCAAATTTTACAAATTGCTGGAATTTAACACCCACTTTAAAAGGAACCGCCTGTAAGGGACCCGGGAATATTACAACAACCAACCAACCTCTTCCATGAGTCCAATGTCAATTGACCCTGGAATGAACGAGCTAACAAATAACAGAGCATACAGATAGCCGGTTTGACCGTATAAAAGTTCACTAGGAAGTCTCTCAAATTCTCTTTTGTTCTCACTGTACATGGAGCAGAGTCTTCTAATGCACTCCAAGGACTCAGAGCTCCTGCTTAGCTTATGATAGCAAACTGCAGCAATTGCTAAAGGGCCTGCTCCTCCACAAAGGAATGTTTTACGATGAGTCTTGAGGTGAGCTAGGGAAGGCTCAATAAAACTGAGGCACAGGGATAACTCATACTGAGCTCGCTCCTTGTCATCAGAGAAGATGCTAGTTGCCAAGTGAAGATGAAGGAATGCTAGGCCTGAAATATAAACATTAACATATAAAAGGCATGCATAGGCTACCTCCTGTTCCAGTGTATACAGACTGGTCAGAGGAGGCACTGGATTTATAATGAGCATCTATTCTTTTTAACGTTGATTCTAGTTCAGTCAATATTTTTGGCTTTAATAACTTTAAGGTCTGGAGTAAAGAGAGTATTATGAGTCTGTATGGTACTTAGCTTTACTTCTTGGGCTTTACTGGGACTGTTGCATCCCTCTTTAGTAAAATCAGAGAGCCATGGATTACCAAGATACCTCTTCTCTGCCATTGTGCATGAGCCACACCTCCAGAATATTAGTTAACCTTAATTAATTAGATAATGAATGAGGCGTGAACTGATAATGATATTCATACTCGGCCCCTTGATTTGAACGGGGGGTCGGGGGCAGGTATTTATCTTCGAGAAGGCAAAAGAAGAGAAAGTCTTTCTTTATCTTTCTTTATCTCTCTCTTTGTACAAGCTCTCCAGCTCCTCCCGCAGTCCAGCTCTTTAGCTCTGCTCTCAGAGTTTTCTTCTCCAGTGCCTAGTGGTATATCCGAGCGAGGGTGATGGCGGAAGACGTCAGGAAGTGGCTGAGGGACATTGGTTGCGAGCACTATCATCCCATCTTTGTTCAGAATGGCTACAATAATCTTGGGGCCTTGAGGTCAGGCAGGGTCCTTGTTTTTATGTGTTTGTCATAGCGTTTCTGTTCTGCTTGCTTTTGTCATATAATTTGTTTATTTACTGAATCTACCAAACAGAGTCTGCCCAAGTGGCTTTCTAATTTATCATCTCCCCCCTCTCTCTCTCCTCTCCCTCATTTTTTCCTATAGTGGATTGACTGAAAGTTCCCTAATAAAAATGGCTGTCGTAAATTCAAGTCACAAGCAGGCTATACTCAATAAGGCGAGGACCACTACTGCTGCTTCTTCTGCTGGTGGAACCGTTGACTTTGATGATTTTGATAATCTTCTCGGTGACCTTACCTCGGCCATCGCTGACTTGGAATCCATTACTGCTGTGAGTGTGTGTGTGTGAGTGTATAGTTGTTTTGTCTACATATTTCATTATTGTACTTATTGTTTAATCTCCTTGTCTCTTTCTCACTTCTTCCTTTCTCTGACTCATTCCTCCTATGTGACTACCCCCCCTCTCTTTCTCTCTCCACATCAAACACTTCTATAACTTGTAGCCTGGTAGGAGTCCTTCTATAGCAGCCAATAGTTTCAATCCAGTAACCTCCTATGACCCTTCTTCAAGAGTATGTCCCCATACCCCTTTGTTCTTTATCCTCTCCTCTCCTCTTTATATTAGAGACACACTGTACCAGCTGGTACAATCAGTGGCTCGTCATCAGGGAATAGCACTCCATTAGGAGGCGGGACACCATACAATAGTTTACAAAGGGTTAGTGACAAAATATTGCTTTATCTTTATTATTATTTATTATTAATTTTAACATGCAGGAGGAGCAAAAGCCTATACAAGTGAGCCTTAATAAATCTTATTTGTAAAATTTAATGCCCATCATATTCATGCTGTCTCTTTTTAGGGGTTTAATCCAGAGGCTAGTTTAAAGGACACTGATCTTGATGCTCTCCTCACTGATTTGTGTGAATTTGACCCAATGAAGGAAGTCCAGCCCTCTCAGGCCTCTATGCCTACTAATCCAATACAGTTTGCTTCCCCAGTTCATCAGGTTGCTGCTACTCCTCCCCTGCCACATCAGAGAGTAGTTCAGAAGACGGAGCCTTCTCCCCCTCCCCCGCCAACCGCTCCTCGTCCTGTCCCTGCTAATAAACCATCTCCACTAGCCCAACCTAAATCAAATGGAGTCGTGACACATGAGGTATTGTAATGTTACCATCTTTATCTTTATTCCTCCTCCTCCTCCTCTTTTTTAATTATCTTTATCTCCTTTTCTTATTTAATGATGAATCTCATAGACTAAGGACAGTCCTAGTCATTCAAATTCTTCCCTTCCCCCTGACCTCCCCCCACCAAAAGGATTTGATTCAACGGGTGAGTGAAGACAATTGCATGTAGTTAAAACAATAATGCTATAACAGAACTATGCTTTTGTTCTGCACACCCAGCCACTCATTAAGTAATCATACTATGAGTAATATTTATAGTGACATATGTTAAGAGATAGAATGACATGATTGCATGTGATGATGTGCGTGTGTGTATGTGTGTGTGTTCTTGTGGGTACTAGTCATACCACAAGTTCACTCATCTCTCCCTGACTCAACACAGTGTCATTAATTATGCAAAACTGATTCTAATTTAACTCTCTTGTGTGTGTGTGTGTGTGTGTGTGTGTGTGTGTGTGTGTGTGTGTGTGTGTGTGTGTGTGTGTGTAGTATAAGGGAGATAAGGTGTGTTTGTAAGAGATTTCATGATTTCACCTTTTGCTGTGAGAGATTGGGTGTTGCCACTGTAAATACAGGCACTTGTAAGGAAGTTGAGACACTAAGTACAATAATTTGACATTATTATTATTATCCATAATCTATGCACATGTATTTTACCTAATTTGTTGGTATGGATTACCTTACCATTAACAATCAAAATTGCAGGATGAATACTTTGTTTGGTCTTTACTATAAACTCCTTAATCCAAATATTTATTTTTCCATGGGTCACTCTACATGTATTTGTAGATACTGTTACTGAAACTTAAGCCTCTTCTGTGATTTGTAAAGTGTCTAAAAACTTTCACTGTATACACTTGGTTCAGTAGCTTTATTTTATACACTGAGTGAGTGGTTATTGAGTCCTATTTGTGTTCTTGTTACAATAAGACAAATTGACAAACAAAGACTATTCACAATCAGCTCATGTAGGGACACTCGACAGCTTACATTGCAACCTGTCCCTCTCACAACACTCTAGTGACGGTATTACTGAAATGCTGACTATACTAAAGTAGAAGCAACAACAGATCTTATTATTAGATTTAATCTCAAATTCCTGGCACTGATATGGCTGGTATATCTATTAGCAATACCATATTATATCGATTAGCAGCCCCTTATAACGTATGTGTGTATGTGTGTATGTACATGTGTGCATTGTTGTTGAGCCATAATCTTAACGCAATAAACATGGTCCTTATTTGCATTTGACATCGTTAACAGAGGGAAGCTTTGATGACAAGTGTTTCGTTTAAGACTGTTCACTCGTGTTGGGTTGGTGGGATCCATACATGTATACTTACTCACTCAATGTCTGCCCACTCTTTTTGTTATTATCAATTACTTGTGTATACATCCTCCGTGTATATTAGCTTGTTTACTGAGTCTCTTAGTGCATTTACATTACTTTATGTGAGCAGTCTGTTTACTCGTGTATGTTTGTGTACATGTGTGTGTGTGTGTGTGTGTGTGTGTAATTATAGTAAAATTAAATTTCTTGTGGATAGGATTTTAAAATAAACAACAATAATTTATTATTCTGAATAAACTAATTACTCTCTTGCTCTTATGGTGTGACATAGTAATAATGTCCCTCCTTTATATTTTACGCATAACACAGTACTCTAGAAAGTATAGTATTTCATTACTTACAACAGTACAATAAAGGACAATTGTCATACTTTCTATAGCAGTACTGGCAACAAGGGCTCTACTATACTATAAATACAAGTGCTATATTTTTATAAGAGCTAGTCCTCTGGAAAGTAGTGTAACATTTTTCTCTCTTAATCAGATGAGGTCCATGTCACTCCAATCCATGAGCCAAAACTAACTGGAGCTAGTGAAGAGATAACCAAAGATGACATTGCTCGTCGCTTGGTTGCTAGGGAGGAGGAGCTTCGCTCGGACCCCAGTCTCAACGACGAGGAAGTTGCTGCTAAGATGAAAGACGAAAAGATGAAGATAGCCATCGAGAAGATGAAGATTGCAAGCAAGAGAAAGGTAGCCATCAAAGTCTTCAATAACGATGGCTCCAACAAGACCGTGGTTGTTGAGGAAGGAATGACTGCTGCTATTGTCTGCTACCTTCTTGTATCCAAGAACCATTTTGAGGAGTCACCCAACTGGACTATAATAGAAAGACTTGGAGATGTGGGACTGGGTAAGAAATAAGAATATACTAATATTACTATTATCACCTTTATGACCATGTATTTATGTGCATACATGTACATGTATATGTATCTCAAACTTTCGTCACTTTTTTCTCATAGAACGTGAACTAGAGGATCATGAATGTGTTGAAGAGATATACACTCATTGGGCACGTGACTCCAACAATCAGTTCTTCTTCCGCAGAAACGATTTGAAATATGAGCTGTTTGTAGATCCAATTGTAAGTGACTACCTTTATCTCCTCATTCCATGCACATTTCTTCACATACAGTCACGCATGCAATTTAATGAAGTTGAACAAACACACAGTTACTTTGTTTCTGTTTTGCTTTACATTCTCGTATATCTCACTATTCAAAACACCTTTTATTTTCTTGTTGCTTATTATTGCATGACATACATGTATACATACAAACTTGTTTATGATGCATCTGTTTGCTTGTTTATACAATTAATGCATTTCGTGTAATGTACACTCATGACACTCAGTATTGTTGGTTATGGTTTCTGTGTCTACATGTACATGTACATGTACACATGGACCGCCTTTATGTTTTGTCATAGCATGCAACTGCCGAATATAGTATTGTGTGTTGTCTATTTGAGAGGCTGTGGTTTGTCTGAATGCAATAAGGAGACTAATGGAATTAAGTGTTGATGCTGTTGGCCCAGGTGGGAAATTAGCCTTATAGCATTTATAGGAACATGTGTCAATATTAATGAGAATAGTTTTTACTAAGACATTGAGTTTAAATTGATTAGTATGTACATGAATTATGATATGATTGCATTCTTTAAGTGTCTGTATCTGCAATATCGTGAACTGTGGTTAGATGATACATGTAGTACATGTACATAGCAATGAGAAGAGGTTATACTCTTCACTTTCTTATAATTATTTTAGAAATATTTCCCTGCTTTGCTAACAAGCACCATGATTGGCAAAGACAGCAAGAACCGAACAGATAAAGCTAGGAAGATACTGGTCCAGGAGTATTTCACGTCAGCCCTTCGCGTCCCAGAGATTGAAGGGTTCCTTCACCTAAAGGACGGCTACAAGAACAAGTGGAAGAAGATATACGTCATATTGAGGGCATCAGGTCTCTACCAGACACTCAAAGGGAAAGCTAAAGTATGTAGACTAACTGGATGTAGACTGTATGTCTAACATGATGTGACTCAATGTGAATATAGGTTACATGTACCTACACGTAGATATTATTGTAACTCCTATGTACATGTATATGTGTATGTAGATTTGTTATTCCCTGAAGTAGGTTCTTGTGTTGTCTTTTTGCTTTTTGTGACTTGCAATGTTTAAAGTTTAGAATTTTAATTTCGACTGCTTTGTTTTGATTTTCTTTTGATTACCTGGTGGCCATAAATTACTATACAAATGAGTCTTTTGAGAAAAATATCAAACAGCCTCGTCCCATTACTGTAGGAGTAGAACTAGAATGATAATTGTATGTATATTTTCATCTTCCTCCTTCTACCCTCTCTCTTTCTCTTTGACAGACGGCCAAGAATTTACAGTTGTTGATTCAGTTTGAAGATTGTGATCTTTATCGTGGCTTGAACTTCAAGAAAATGCTAAAGGCTCCCTCTGATTTCTGCTTTGGTCTCAGAGTAAGAAAGAAGGAAAGAATGAAATAGTACTGTATGTAGTAATGAGTAGTGGCCCTATAAAAAAGTGTTGTATTTTTTACGAGAATGAGTACACATCCAGTTGAACTTAGAGTAAAGTTACACTGAACGTGTGTCTAAACTGTGCCAAGGGAGAATTAGAGTGTAATGTACTTTAGTGTATACTGTGGCGGCCCTGCAGTTAAAAGAACAGTTTATATAAGATTGATAACAATATACCACTCCCTCCCACACACTTGCTGTAGAAACACCTAAATTTATGTACTCCATCCCCCTCACGCTTTTTCATTACTTCCTTTAGCCTAAACCAGATCAGATGGTTCCAGGTGCAAAGGACATTAAGGTCCTTTGTGCTGATTCTGAGGAGGAGTTCATCTCTTGGTACGCTGGGTGCCGTCTTGCCAAATTTGGTCATGTACTGTATGACAATTACTACAAGGCTCACATCAAGCAGTTCAAGTTGGAGGACCCAGAGACGACTGGTGGTCGTACTGCTGAAGAAAGGGCCTACTCTCTAACTGGGATGAGGCTTGAGAAGCACCTGGACAAGAGGCGCGAGGAGTATCAGAGAGAGAAAGAAGCTAAAGTCGCTCAAGAGATGATGTTTAAGCATGTCGGAGGGGAAGACAACACTCCTGAAGCTTCTCCCCAAGTCCCACCCAAGACGGCCCCTAAACCTAAAACGGCTCCTAAACCAGCTCCAAAGCCTTCACATAGAGGAGGAGAGCACCCTGATGATGTCCCGCCACCTATACCACCCCACCCTATAGATGAGCAGGAGGGCGTTGTCTTGGATTCACTGTCACAGTATCCTTGGTATCATGGCTCCATACCTCGTGATGAAGCCATTAGGCGATTAGAACAAGCTGGGTCTAGAGATGGGTGAGTACATGCACTTTGAGGAAGAGAGAGATAAAGAAAGTGTATAAATAGTTAATAGTACATACAAATGTTAGACAGTGAAAGAGGCACACTTACGCACTTTTTTAAACAGATGTAAACATTGGCTTTGAAGTTGAACTCTCTCATCCTCTCTCTCTCATTATAGGTTGTTTCTGGTCCGTGATAGCTCTTCTGTTGCTAACTCCTTTGTCCTGACAATGTTTGCAAAGTCTGTACCCAAGAACTTTCAGATCATGCCAGTAAGATAATACATCATTCATTCACAATACTGGTAATGTACATGTACTGTATATAATTTGTTACTACTAAGAGTGTATTATCCACTCTTGTTACTAATAAGGTGTATGCATACATGTACAACATGATGTGGTGTCAGTTCACACCACAGGAAATGAGGTGTCATTCTTAGCTGAGTGATAACAGGTGTGATTGTATCCATGGCAATTTGATGCCCCCTAATATAATGTCTTGGGAATTTGAGTAGTGTTCATTTTCTCTTTCTTTTTCTTTCTCTCTAGTATGAACTAGAAAACTCTGAGATAATATATAGGATTGATGATGGTCCGCAGTTTAAGTCAGTCCCTGAAGTACTGGAGCATTATCGCAATTTTGCTGATCGTCTTCCATGCAAACTAACAGAGTACTGTTCTCGTCCACCCACGCGAATGACCGAGTGCTAATTAACTATTAATTAATAAAAACTAATAATTAATTAATTATTGTTGTTTATCTATTGAATTACAATCACACACTTTATTGCATGCATTCATGTGTTGTTGCTGTTTAAATTTTCAAAATTTTGACAAAAAGGCAATGACTTTGTTTTTCTCTTACTAGTGTGCCCTAAATATTAATATTATTGTCTTGTTATTATTCAATGTAATAATTATCATTATTATTGACTAGTCAAGCATTTTCGTATTGAAATTCATTTTAGAATTATTAGAATTTTAAGAATAGATTAATTTGTGTGTGGCTGGTTGGATGGCAATTAATTATTTTAAGTGGAATGTCTCACTTTGCACAAAGAATTTCATTATAAATTTATACTTGGTTCAAGAAGATTGGCGATTTTTTTAATTTGGAACTGAATTTGCCCCAGCCACAAAAACTCTTGAGCCACACGTACACACTAAACTAATGGTTTCCTTCTACTATTGAGATGCCTTATAAGGGCAAGTGGAACCCTTACAGTTTAAGAACATGATGAGTAATTTATTACATGAATAATTGAAATAGCACACTATAAATCTCCATGCTTGCCAGATACACTCATATTATAACAAAATACACACACAACAGTTGGAACATAAACACATTTACATAATTAAACTAAAGTAGAGAACATCCACTGAATAAGCTAATAAAATTACTAATAATAATAATTACTGGCTTCATAGTCTATTGATTAACAGCTATTAATAGTAAGATGATGAGAGCGAGTTAGCAAGAAGGAAAGAGAGAGAGAGAGGTGGCGGGAGGATGCTGGAAAGAATTGTCCTACAAGATAACACACTTTGACTTCTTCTTTTTCTTCTTTTGATTCGCCCCGTTGACAGAGTCTTTCTTTTCCTTTATGACAAGAACTAAATCGTAATAAACCTTTTCGACGTTTAGCTTCGTCTTGGCTGATGTTTCTTCGTAAGGAACGCCCCACGAATGTGCGAGGGCTTTTGCTTCATCAAAGCTCACTACCCTTTGATCTTGGAGATCGATCTTGTTACCAACGAGTATCATTGGGACTTTATCGTCAACTTTGACTCTGAGGATTTGCTCCCGAAAGTCCTTCATGCCCTCAAAAGTCTCTCGCTCTGTGACAGAGAAAACGCAGATGAAGCCCTCTCCGGTTCTGAAGTAATTGTCACGTATGACAGCATAGTCTTCTTGCCCAGCAGTATCAAGTATGTCTATCTGGCATTCTTGCCCGGAGACTGTCGCTTTCTTGCGATAATTGTCTGCTTTTGTTGGCTCATAGTTCTCAACAAACTGAGAGAAATTTAGAGGAAGTGAAGGAAAAAAGGAAGATAACATTAACAGAACCAAAGCAAAAATAACTATTATCATAATAATAATAATATTAAATAAGGATGCTAGTAATTATTCCTCACCTCTGAGTACATGAATTGCAAAGTCAGAGCAGATTTTCCTACGCCTCCAGGCCCAACCATGATCACCTTGTGGACCGGCAATTCACCTTTACCCTTGCTTTTCGACATTTCAGCTGTTCCCTGTGAAAATAAAGAGGCTAGGGAGCCCCAGGAGAGAAGGAGGGAGAGAGTGAAAGAGACAGTTGAGTCGCCTGTCACAGAGCCTCAGCCTAATTGGCCACCAACGAAATGGGCTGGGCTGTAGGTTTTAAATATACGGTGTTATTTATCACGTGATCTAAAACGTAGACGATTAATGTACGGATACGCCTCACGTGATCTATTAATTTCAACTAACTATTAATAAAATTAATTACAAGTCTTTAATTAACGAGCCACATCTCCAGTTACCAGTTGAAACCCATTCTCTTTTTGGTGTTGCTGGGTTTCCAAGCAAGAGGGACTTCTTTAGATGCATAAGAGGGTAGCTCAACTATTGGAGATGCACATGGCTGATAACTAGGGCGAACTTCACCTTTGGCAGAGAATACAGGGCCATGTCCACCTCCTACAGAACAAAATAAACATTTTTCCATCCACTTTTACAGTACCTGATCCTCTTTTTGATGCCTTTTTAAGTGGAAAAGTGTTTAAGTCTCTTTCTTTTGTCTCCTGTATCACTTGACCAGCATATTCTTGAAACTGGTTCTCTTCAACTTTCAATAAACTCAAATTTTTCTGTTGATGCGTCTTTTCTTCCTCCCTTTCCATTCTTTCTCTCTCTTCTTTTTCAACCTATCAAATACATGTATATTAACTTTCTATGCAAGTCTGTATGTACTACACTCACCATTTGAGCTTTGAGAAATTTCTCCACTTCCTTTGCCTCGCGGATCTTTTTCTGCTCCTTCTGAAGGTTGTTAGCATGGAATCTTTGATCTTGTTCAACTCTTTGACGAAGGAGCTCTTGCTCGTGCTCTCTCATTTCTCGCCTCTTTCTTTCTTGCTCTGAAATCTAAAAATAGATTTTCAATGCTGTCACATTGTTATATACAATGACCATATGCTAACCATTTCACGGCAACATTCATCAATTTCAGCTGCACTTTTCATTTGCTTCTCAGCCTTTTCTCTTTCTATTCTCTGCAAGTAATAGCAATGAGAATACTAGAGCTATAATCATGACTGTGCTACAGTACCTCTCTTTTAGCATCTTGCTCAGCTACAGCTTTGGCAATCAATTCATCTTCATTGCTCACTTTCTATTTATAATTATGGTCAATAGAAATTATTGCTATGTAAATGTCTAACCTCTTCAACCATGCTCTCTATGTGTTTTGCAATCTTTTCTTGGTGACCTTGAAGCTCTCTATGACAATAATAGTGACAACAGATCAAAAAATAGACTAATAGACTCACCTATGGATTTCTGCTTCTTTTTGTTTACGCATTTTAGTCATATTCTATATACACTTGGCAATAAATTGGATTCATTTGGGTTAGCATACCTTCTTGGCTTTTGCAAATAGTTCGCACTCAGCTTGTTGCATTTTCTCCTGTTCTTCTTTCATTCTTGCAAAAGTCCTATTACTCATTATCAAGTCATTCAGCTCCTGGCGAAGAATTAATTTCTTCCTCTCTGCCTGCATTTCTTTCTCCTTCTCTATCTCCTGCCAGCGTTGAGTTTCTTTGTCTATGGCAGTCTGTTCTTCTAATTGACGCTCCCTTTCTTTCTTCTTTGCAGTAGCATGTTCAGATATCCTTAGAATTGAATTATCATTGACAAGAGTCACTAAATATACATACACTCAATGACTCAAACATACTGCTTTGCTTGATAGGCTGCTATCTCAGAAACTGCTTTGCTCCTTTCTTGAGCAGCTAGTGTATCTGCCACTTTTGTTTTCTCTCTCAGCTCTTCTTGATAGCGCTGATACATCTGATCTCTATCCTTATACATATCACTCCTTTGCTTTTTGAATGCAATTTGTGCTTCTCTTTCTTTAAGGATCTCAGAGAGCAATAGTCCACTCTATTGACGGAGCTATTAAAAATTATAATTGCAATGCAAACCTACATGAAATCCTTTAAGTCTATCTGTCTGGTAGTAAAGAAGTGTTTTTGCACGATCTATCAGCTCTTGTCTCCTTGCTGCTTGAAATTCTGCCTCCTCTTCATCTATTTTAACTCTTTCTTCCTACATACAGGGCAAATCTTAATACACATTCAAAAAAATCCCAACCTCCTCTTTAATCTCTTTTACTTTGAGATTTTCAAGTCGTTTTAACCTCTGTCCCTGTTTTTTATTAATTATAATAAAGGATCGCCATTTTTATTTCCTTGCCTCTATTGTATTCCTCCAGTTCTTCACCATGTTACAGGAAGCTTGATGCTTAGCTTCCTTATCACGTTCTCTTTGCATTGCTTCTTCCTTATCCAAGTCAACTCCAGATATTTTAAGCTTCAGCCTCTCCAATTCTTGCATAGATAGGACAGTTGCCTAAAGGCCAGGTAAATTTCCAAAATTTAGTAGCATAATAATTATTTAAAATCATACCGAAGGCCTGGGTTGCTGCCCTAAGAAAAATATCCATTATAAAAGCAGAAATAAAGATTGAACATACTTTGTGTAGCTGCTAATCCCTTGCTTCTACGAATCTCCAAAGACATTTTGGTAACACTAGTCAGTGTATTTGCTAAATCACCATGGCAACGATAGGCGGGGTCTGTTTTATTTTTAACCGCAATCTTTTTAAAATGGCGGACAGTGAAGGGGCTGAAAAGGTTCTCTTTGTTTTCGATTTCGACCACACACTCATCGATGACAACTGTGACACATATGCCATGAACGTGGCACCTCAGCTGAACCTAATTGAGAAGGTACACGAGATGAGAAAGGAGTTTACCCTATGGATAACAATGATGAATTATGTCATGAAAGCTCAGTATGAACATGGTTCCAAGCCAGAGGACGTCCTCAGAGTAATGAAAGAGATAGATTTAATAGGACCAATGAAGAGAACACTAGAAAAAATAAAGGAACATCCACTCGTAGATGCTATCATAGTTTCAGATGCCAATTCATTCTTTATACGTGCGATATTGGAGAATCACAACTTAGCAGACGTTTTTAAGACAATCCACACCAATCCAGCATGTTTCAACGAATCCGGCTGTCTAGAAATCAGCCACTACCATGCTCACTGCTGCACTCGTTGTCGTAAAACCCCAAACATGTGCAAGGGTCTAATAATGCACAGCATAGCCGAAGAGAGGAGTACATATTCCAGGATAGTTTATGTAGGGGATGGATCTAATGATTACTGTGCTGCTATGCATCTTTCTCCTCGCGATCACGTTGTGGCTAGGACAGGATATGGTCTTGCCAAGAGGATAGCTGCAGAGAAGCCTCCACCTAGTTTTAATGTGATTGATTTTACTGATCCTCAAGCCGCAGTTCTATTACAGAGCCTGATGCCATGAGTACTATCTTTAATTAATTTATTTTTTAATGCTATAGATATAATAGTCGGTTTCATTTTAACTCTTCATAACAATCAAATTAATAATTATAATACTAAATGATATCGATTTTCATTTTTAAAACATAAAAATAATACCAATCAATTATTACTATTATATCTCTATTGTAAAAAATATCTTCCAGTTATTACACATTATAGATACATATAGCAAGCTAGTATTGTATATTTAGTCAAAAGTGTCCAATATGGCTGGATCTATAGCATCCAATCCATGCACTCCTTCATCATCAATGTAATAATTCATCGTATTATTTGGTAGGTGAGGGGCAAAATCAATCTGAAGTAGGCGTGGTACCGGATTCACACCTGGACAGAAAGCTGCATTATTGTCCACTCCCTCTTCTCTCAATAGGAGTAATCTGGTGGCAACCATGTTACTCCACAGTTCACCAAGTGCTGGTCGAGTTGTATTACTCTTAGTGTCACTGGTCATCTGGTTAGTGCACACAATGGTTAACTGGTGTTGATATATGAGCAAGTGTAGGGAACTGGCAATTAATTTCAAGTCGTAAGCTCTTGACGAGTCGTCATACGAGTACTCAACACGAAAGAGGCTAGCCAAAGAATCAATTATGATTAGTCTAATGTTGCGTGGGTTTTTCTGAAGGAGGCATGGCAATTCGTGATTGAGTAATACTTTTAATTCTTGTACAGTGGCCGAGTGATGTACGAGGACATTGTCCATGAGTGTCTGTGCATTAAGATACGAGTACTTGCCGGCCATAAACTGGGCCAGTTCCTTGAGACGTTTACTATGAAAAGGTCCCTCTGTGCTGATATAAACTGCCTTTGATGAGTATCCACCATGTTTTTCTCGCAATTGAACAGTGAGTGAGAGCTGAAGGCATAACTGTGATTTACCAGCTGCACTGGTACCAGCTACTTCGGTGAGTGAGCGGGGAAGGAGGCCACCTTGTAGTGTCTCATCTATCAAAGGACAGCCCAAGCTTAGCTTCTGATTATCTATTTGTCTAATGTCTTGAGCTGTGAGAGGCTTAAAACGTGCCAGAACAGCTTCTGAAGCGGTTTCTATGAGCCCCTGGACCTGATACACCTTTAATCCAGTCCTACGGACCAAATCACCGCTAGAATATTCCAATATTTCAGACAGGGACCTCAAACCAGCTCTCTCCAATGATATGGATACAGCTGGTGGGACGGCCAACTTGTCCATGAGACTCCACGTGGGTCGATTATACTGAGCATGCGCATTACGACTTGGCTGGTAAAATGATAAAATGAAATCAGTTTTGAAGTTCAACACTCTAAGTAGAGGGATAAAAGGGTATAGAGGATTGTCTGGAAATGATTGTAAGGATTTTATTGTATTGGGTGTAGAAACCAGCTGTGATGATACTGGAGTGGGCGTGGTCACTAGCTCTGGAGCAATTCTGGCTGATAGCAGACATTCACAATTAGCATGGCACCAGAAGTAAAAGACTTACAGACTCTCTAATTCTTTTACGTGTAGTATTTGTCATTTAGAACAGGTGGTGTGAATCCGAAAGTTGCTGGGAAGTTGCATCGGGAATATTTGGGGAGTGTAATGGAGACTGCCTTGAGAGATGCTGGAATTAAAATGAAAGTATGGAATTAAAATGAAAGTATGGAATTAAAATGAAAGTATGGATATTAATTGTAACTAATTGTAATTTTATTACATTTTCATACATATGCATCTTATATATGTTGTGTAGGAATTTTGATTCCGATCAAAATTAGGTTATCACAAATTTTTTAAGCTGCTCAAAAAATCAAACCAAAGACCATGTACCATGTACATGGTCTAGAACCGAATTTCCTCAAAATTGAAAAGGAGAGATTTCTCCATTTTTATAATTTTTTCTGATACATATACATGTACTGATCTTGTGTAAAAGTTTGATCGGATTCTGATTAAAATTAGACTCTTGAGAATAATAAAGTGGTTCAAAGTTGGACTCAAATCGGACTCAAATCCCTGTACTGTATTATTATACTGTCTTTGGCCAAATTTTGCCAAAAATGAAAACAAGAGAATTCTCCATTTTGATTACATTTTCTGATATTGTGAAATGCATGTAAGAATGACTATTAATTATTATTTCATTGAAGGATGTGTATGCTGTTGCTGCAACAGTTGGCCCTGGACTAGCACTCTCACTTGAAGCAGGAATGGACTTTACCAAAAAACTAGTTGCAAAAGAAAAGTAAGAAAAATTAAAACTGTACAATGTAATTTGCTTCATTTATCATCATTATTATTACTAGTAAGCCATTTATCCCTGTGCATCACATGGAAGCTCATGCCCTCACTGCATGCATAACTCATCCAGTCTCCTTTCCTTTTCTCGTCCTCCTTGCCTCTGGTGGTCATTGCATACTAACCGTCTGTGAGGGACCTGGCAAATTCCTCAGACTAGGGGAGTGCAGAGATGATGCACCTGGAGAGGCTTTTGATAAAATAGCAAGAGCTCTGAGACTTCATACTCATCCGTTAGTGAGTGATCTCTCTGGAGGCAGGGCTATCGAAGTACTAGCAAAGTTTGGTAATCCAGAAAAGTTTCCTTTCCCTCGTGCAATGTCTCAAAGGTATAGAGATAAAGAAGACAGAGAGAAAGCATTAATGAGATAATTATTGTGATTTTTAAAGCTTAAACTACTTAATTTTTCTTCTCTTTAAGGCTTGATTGTATGTTTTCTTTTTCTGGTATTAAGACACATACAATGCGAGTCATTACATCACAGGAGGCTAATGATCCAACGGGACCTCATTCTCCTGTTTTACAATGTGAAGACATATCAGCTGCTTCTCTTGCTGCCATCTCTCGGCACCTAGTCACCAGAACTCAGAGAGCTATACTGTACTGTATTGAGAAATGGCCTACACTTAACCACTTGGTAATCACTGTTTGTGTGTATAAATAATAATAATGTATTTCTGAATTTAATTGTTAGGTTGTTTCTGGAGGTGTTGCTAGTAATCTTTATCTTAGAAAGAAACTTGAAGAGCTTGCTTCTTATTATGGCTACCACTTTTCCTGTCCTGAGCCTTCACTGTGCACTGATAATGGAGTGATGATTGCTTGGTATAAGAAGTTTAATCATTTTGTCATCATAATTATTCTATTGTTTTAGGGCTGGAATAGAGCACATTAAAGCTGGCCTCCCTTTAATGAAGGATTTATCTACATTGAAATTTATTCCAAAGTCAGTACATTTCATTACTGTATAGTCTATGAGTATAATTGCATTAGGTGGCGACTGGGCAAGGATATTTCTAATGTTGTGGCTGATGAAAGAATTAAAGTGAAAGTAAAAATGAAGTACTAATGACTTTATTAAATTTCTACTTTACAGTATTAATGTAATTATGACTGAGTAAGGCTTGTGGTTAAATGTGTGGTAAACAAAGGTGTGAGGCATGCCTAGTGCTGCCTACATGTGTATAATGTGTTTTTATTGTGGATGCCATATCTTGGGACCTTCAAATTAAACCCATCCAAAAATGTTAGAATCAAATTAAATCCAACCACAACTGTTCAACCACAAATACTTTCAGTTTATTTGAAGACATCACATAAAATAAATAAATATGATCGCAGATTGATACACAAATGTTCCAAATTAGATTAAATCCAATGCTATAAACAGGCAGTTTATTTGAAGTCGTCGCAAATCGATCGAGCCAATCAAAGATTGATAACAAAAGTTCTTGTTGATAGTGAAGCTGCAACATGTCTAATTTCTCTATTTCCACTAAATTTGCAGCAGTCTGCTGCTTATTTGTTGCAGCTGTCATCAGTCAGGGAGCTGCTACTAATAATCTGCAGAAAAGTCTACTGGTTAAATTTTCTAAGGAGCACAGCACTCGTCAGGATAATGGCGCTAATCAATGCGTTACTACATTTAATAACAGCTTGCCTCAAAGCTGTAACATATCTGCACTACTTGATCTTGACCCAACCTCTGATCTCAGTGACGCCCAGCTAGCTGAAATAAACCAAGCTTACTCCAGACACTGCATCTCTTCCTGCATTGACCCATTCATTACATTCTATCGCTGCCTAAGTACAGCAAATAATGTTCCTTCGGCTACAATAAATTTTCAAACAGAATTTCTTCAAAATGGAATCTGTGGACAAGAGAGTGGAGACTATTGTCCTGTTCTAATTGCTCGACAGAATCGTACTAACAGTGCTGCATTTGATCAAACTGATGCTTGCAACTTTGGTAATGCTGGAATAGTCTGCAGTAGTACAACCTCTGCTAGGTGTCTCAATAGTCTTACTAGGGTTGCTTCATTGATTGGTTGCTGTGCTCGTCCTTATATTGGATCTGGTATTGATAGCTGCAGTGGAGTCAATGCAGATCCTTCATGCAATAGTCCTGCTAACAAGGTTTATCCTCTTGCTACTCTGTCATTCGTTGCTGTGATCCTCCTTACTTTATTCTTTTAAAACTTTATACATTAATACTGAACTTTAAGCCTTTTTCTTTTTAAATTTTACTACTATTATTGTGATTGCTGTAGGCCTGTTAATTTATTAGACTGCTGTAGTTGTTGTAGATTTAAAGTAATAGTGATTTTGACAACCAATTAATTTTGTGATATTGTTATTGAAACCAAAACTATAACACTAAATTGCACAAGTTTGAAATGTACTTATAGATTGCTCGTTTTGCTATTTAGTCCATTAGATAGGGGATTCCACCTCATTCCCTAGACTATTAGATTCATTTAAGCACAATAGATAGCTACTACCAATATGCACTGCAGTATGTAAGTCATAGGTGTGGCTAGATGTGTGTTTGTGTGTGTGTGTTTGCGTGTGTGTGTGTGTGTGAACTAGTCTCGCTAGCCAGACCATTCTCCAGCCTACATACCCCAATGACTGTAGGCTGGGAAATAGTCTGGCTAGCGAGACTATGTGTGAATTAGTCAGGCAGAGCCTATAGGCTTTTAATTACCTGACTATGTGTATGTGTGGTATATTATTTGGTATGTAAGTTGTCAAATGTCAACTGGTTTGTGCTTCATAAAAGGCATTAAACTAAAGTAAACATTCATAATATCTCAAGCCTTCACTGTACACTGATGAATGCCATTATCACTGATAATAGAGTGATGATTATTTGGTTACATTACTTTATAGTCCCCCTCTTAACTTAAAAATATTTACTAATGGTAATCTTATTAGGTAGCCGCTGGGCAAGGATGTTTCTAGATTGTGACTAATAAGAGAATGAAAGTGAAAATAAAGTACAAATGACTTTTGAAAGAATTTATAGTGGTAATGTGATTATTGGTGTGGCTTATGGTATGGTAAACAAAGATGTTTATGTAGTAGTGTGCCTATATGTACAAAGTTATTCACTACTATGCTTTGTATATGTTGACTAATGATAAATACCTATACCTTTCTTGATAAAAGATATCAAGCAAAAATGCTTCAAACCCAACCACCAATATAAAAGGCACTAAAACTTCATTTTAGTCTATTTGAAGTCACTGTAACTAGATAGAGCCGATCAAAGGTTGATAGTGAAGCTGCAACATGTCAAATTTCTCTCTTTCCACTAAATTTGCAGCAGTCTGCTGCTTATTTCTTGTAGCTGTCATCAGTCAAGGAGCTGTTGCAAACAATCTGCAGAAAAGTGTACTGGCCAAATTTTCAAATTTAACAAAATGGCGGCTTTTAAATGGGACAAACTCAGTTTGAGTTTTTTAACAGCTAGATAAGAGAGAAGAGCTATCTAAAGGCTACTCCAGTAGCTCTAGAAAGTCTGGAAATTTAAGTAAAGTTATATATAAGATTCTTTTTGGTAGGCAGTCATGTGAATGATTCCGCACAACTTTTTAATTTGAAGTGTGGCTTTGTTTTCTCAGTTACATACCTCATCAAGCCGGCAGCACTCATTCTTGTCTCTTTTTACTGCATGTTTGCTCTCTTCAGACTTCAGACTCTGACCATGAGGACTGCAGGGTCTGAATATGCATGCAGGTAATGGTCTCAAAAACAAAGAAGGAATAATGTTCTTTTCTTTCACATTATAGTAAGAGCTGGATTGATTTTAATCTTTTTCAAACCATGTTCAAACAATGTTAATTGATGGCTCATGCTCGCCCCCTCAATGCTTACATTCACCAGGAACTTGAAGAGCTTCTTACTATGGCTACCACCTTTCCTGCCCTGAGCCTTCACTGTGCACTGATAATGGAGTGATGATTGCTTGGTAAGAAGTTTAATCATTAGTCTCATTGTAATTATTGTATTGCTGTAGGGCCGGAATAAAGCACATTAAAGCTGGCCTCCCTTTAATGCATGAAGGATTTATTTACATTGGAATTCATTCCATCAAAGTCAATACATTTCACTACTGTATAGTCTATGAGTATAATCTTATTAGGTGGCCACTGGGCAAGTATATTTTTAGTATTGTGGCTGATGAAAGAATTAAAGTGAAAGTAAAAATGAAGTACTAATGTACATACATACACACACATTACATGTACTCATTATTATTATCACTTTATTATTATCTTGGGGCCCTGTGCTGACTGGTCTTTTTGTTCTGTACAGTTCTTATTCTTATCCTTGCATGTGTATTTTTAAGATTTTGTTCGTAAAATGGCCCTTGTCTATTCAGGAAGCTTGCTTTGTTTGTTTTAGGACAGTACTGCTCCGTCATACACAACAACTTTATTACATAATTTTTACTTACAGAATTATGACTGATTATATGGCTTGTGATTAAATGTGCGGTAAACAAAGGTGTGTAGAATCCCTAGTATTGCCTACATGTGTACTATGTTTTTATGTGTTTACTATTATTGTTGATGAGGTGAATACCCATATCTTGGGACTTTCAAATTAAACCCAACTAAAAATGTTAAATTGAAATTAATCTTGCCACATATGTTCAATCACAAATACTTTGAGTCATTACAAAAATAACGCTGATCCGCTTGCTGATTGCAGGTTGACACACAGATGTTACAAATTAGGTTAAATCCAATGCTATAAAGAGACTATTTTTTAAAGTCACTTTAACCAGATAGAGCCAATCGAAGGTTGATAGCAAGAGTGCTCTTGTTGATAGTGAAACTGCAACATGTCAAGTTTCTCTCTTTCCACTAAATTTGCAGCAGTCTGCTGCTTATTTGTTGCAGCTGTCATCAGTCAAGGAGCTGTTGCTAATAATCTGCAGAAAAGTCTACTGGCCAAGTTTTCTAAGGAGCACAGCACTCGTCAGAATAATGGCGCTAATCAATGCTTCACTGCCTTTAATGACAGCTTGCCTCAAAGCTGTAACGTAACTGCACTACTTGATCTTAACCCAACCTCTGATCTCAGTGACGCCCAGCTAGCTGAAATAAACCAAGCTTACTCCAGAAACTGCATCTCTTCCTGCCTTGACCCATTCATTACATTCTATCGCTGCATAAATACAGCAAATAATGTTCCTTCAACTACGATAAATTTTCAAACAGAATTTCTTCAAAATGGAATCTGCGGACAAGAGAGTGGAGACTATTGTCCTGTTCTAATTGCTCGACAGAATCGTACTAACAATGCTGTATTTTATCAAATTGATGATGCTTGCTATTTTAATGCTGGAATAGTCTGCAGTAGTGCAACTTCTGCTAGGTGTCTCAATAGTCTTACTAGGACTGCTTCATTGATTGGTTGCTGTGCTCGTCCTTATCTTGGATCCGGTATTGATAGCTGCCCTGGAGTCAATGCAGATCCTTCATGCAATAGTCCTGCTAACAGGGTTTATCCTCTTGCTACTTTGTCATTTGTTGCTGTGATCCTCCTCACTTTTTTCTTTTAAAACTTTATACATTAATACTGAACTTTAAGCCTTTTTCTTTTTAAATCTTACTACTTATATTGTGATTGCTGTAGGCCTGTGAATTTATTAGACTGCTGTAGTTGTTGTAGATTTAAAGTATTAGTGATTTTGACAGCCAATTAATTTTTTGATATTGTTTTTGAAATTAAAATTATAACACTAAATCACACAAGTTTGAAATGCACTATAGATTGCCTATTTTGCTGTTTTGGGGATTCTGCCTCATTTCATAGACTATTAAATTCATTTAAGCATAATAGATAGCTACTACTATTAATTATGAACTCATGCTTCATACACACTACAGTATGTAAGTCATGGGTGTGGCTAGATATGTAATTGTGTGCTTGCGTGTGTGTACAGTCAGGCAGAGCCTAGGCTTCACCTGACTATGTGTGTATAAATACTGTGTGTATGCATAGTTAAATGTCAACTGGTTTTGTACTTCATAGAAGACATTAAAGTAAACATTTATAATATCCTGAGTCTTCACTGTACACTGATGAATCCATTATCACTGATAATAGAGTGATGATTATTTTGTTAGAAGTACATTTCATTACTTTATAGTCTCCCTCTTAACTTAGATATTATTTTACTAATTATTTTAATAATCTTATTAAGTAGCCGCTTGGCAAGGATGTTTTAGATTTGTGGCTGAATTAAAATTACAAATCACTTTTGATAGAATTTACAGTGTTATTGTGATCATGAGTATGGCTTATGGTCATTGAATGTTGTGGTAAACAAAGATGTTTATAGTGGCATGCCTATATACATGTGAAGTTATTTATTGCTATGCTTTATATAATGTTACCTAATGATAAATACCTATACCTTCCTACTACCGTATAAGTGGTTTTTTTCAAGGAAATTATATTTCACAAAATCTACTAAAATTCCAATTGGCAGATTGTAATTTTGCGAATTCTACCACATGTGCCATGCAGGTACCATATTAAATTATGGATTTTATTTTTGCAAATCAGGAAGGAATCTGCGAAATTTGCAACCCTAAAAAACCACTTATACAGTATGCTTTATGTAATGTTGACTAATGATATTCCTACTATGCTATTATATAATGTTACCTAATGATAAATACCTATAACTTCCTACTATGCTTTTACATAATGTTGACTAATGATAAATACCTATACCTAACTTGATATAGTAGGATATCGAACAAAAATGCTTCAAATTAAATTAAACCCAACCACAAGTGTACTTAGATTAAACCCACACTACAACAGGCATTTTTAGTCTATATTTGAAGTCACTGTTAGAGCCAAATGAAGGTTGATAGTAAGAGTTCTTGTTGATAGTGAAGCTGTAACATGTCAAATTTTCCTCTTTCCACTAAATTTGCAGCAGTCTGCTGCTTATTTGTTGTAGCTGTCATCAGTCAAGGAGCTGTTGCTAACAGTCTGCAGAAAAGTCTACTGGTCAAATTTTCTAAGGAGCATGACACTCGTCAGGATGATGACTTTAAATGCTTCACTGCCTTTAATGACAGCTTGCCTCAAAGCTGTAACATATCTGCACTACTTGATCTTGACCCAACCTCTGATCTCAGTGATGCCCAGCTAGCTGAAATAAACCAAGCTTACTCCAGACACTGCATCTCTTCCTGCCTTGACCCATTGGTTACATTGTATCGCTGCCTAAATACAGCAAATAATGTTTCTTCAGCTACAATAAATTTTCAATCAGAATTTCTTCAAAATGGAGTCTGTGGACAAGAGAGTGGAGACTACTGTCTTGTTCTAATTGCTCGACAGAATCGTACTAACAGTGCTGTATTTGATCAAATTGATGATGCTTGCTATTTTAATTTTGGAATAGTCTGCAACAGTACAACCTCTGCTAGGTGTCTCAATAGTCTTACTAGGACTGCTTCATTGATTGGTTGCTGTGCTCGTCCTTATATTGGATCTGGTATTGATAGCTGCCCTGGAGTCAATGCAGATCCTTCATGCAATAGTCCTGCTAACAAGGTTTATCCCCTTGCTACTCTGTCATTCATTGCTGTGATCCTCCTTACTTTTTTCTTTTAAAACTTTATACATTGATACTGAACTTTAAGCCACTATTATTGTGATTGCTATAGGCCTATTAATTTATTAGACTGTTGTAGTTGTTGTAGATTTAAAGTATTAGGGATTTTGACAACCAATTAATTTTTGATATTGTTATTTGAACTAATATTATAACACTAAATTGTGCATGTTTGAAATGCACTTATAGATTGCTTATTTTGCTATTTCAGTCCATTAGATGGGGGATTCCACCTCATTCCCTAGACTATTAAATTCATTTAAGCACAATAGATTGCTACCAATATGCACAGATGCTTCATACAGCTATACAGTATGTAAGTCATGGGTGTGGCTAGATATATGAATGTGTGTTTGTGTGTATATCATGTACTAGTCAGGCAGAGCCTAGGCTTCACCTGACTATGTGTGTATATGTGTGTACGTGTGGTGTATTATGTGGTGTGAAGTTATCAAATATCAACTGGTTTTGTACTTCATAAAAGGCATTAAACTAAAGTAAACATTCATAATATCCTGAGCCTTCACTGTACACTGACGAATTCCATTATCACTGATAATAGAGTGATGATTATTTGGTTTCATTACTTTATAGTCTCCCTCTTAACTTAAAAATATTAAGTAATAATAATCTTATTAGGTAGCCGCTGGGCAAGGATGTTTTTAGATTGTGACTGATAAGAGAATTAAAGTGAAAATAAAGTACAAGTGGCTTTTGAAAGAATTTATAATGGTAATGTGATCATGGGTATGGCTTATGGTAAGGTAATTTTAGTGGCATGCCTACATATGAAGTCATTCACTACTATGCTTTATATATGTTGACTAATGTTAAAGACCTATACCCTCCTTGATATAAGATATCCAACAAAAATGCTTCAAACCCAACCACAAATATAACAAGACCCAGATAAAACAGGTATTTTTAGTCTATTTGAAGTAACTGTAACCAGATAGAGCCAATTGAAGGTTGATAGTAAGAGTTCTTGATGATAGTGAAGCTGTAACATGTCAAACTCTATTTCCACTAAATTTGCAGCAGTCTGCTGCTTATTTGTTGTAGCTGTCATCAGTCAAGGAGCTGTTGCAAACAATCTGCAGAAAAGTCTACTTGCTAAATTTTCTAAGGAGCACGACACTCGTCAGGATGATGACATTGATGAATGCTGCACTACCTTTAATGACAGCTTGCCTCAAAGCTGTAACGCAACTATACTATTTGATCTTGACCTAACCTCTGATCTTAGTGATGCCCAGCTAGCTAAAATAAATCCAGCTTTCTCCAGAAACTGCATCTCTTCCTGCCTTGACCCATTGGTTACATACGTTCACTGCTTAGGAATAGCACATAATGATTCTTCAGCTACGATAAATTTTCAAACGGAATTTTTTCAAAATGGAGTCTGTGGACAAGAGAGTGGAGACTGCTGTCTTGTTCTATTTGTTCAACAGAATCGTACTAACAGTGCTGCATTTGATCAAACTGATGCTTGCTATTCTAATGATGCTGGAATAGTCTGCAACAGTACAACCTCTGCTAGGTGTCTCAATAGTCTTACTAGGGCTGCTTCATTGATTGGTTGCTGTGCTCGTCCTTATATTGGACCTGGTATTGATAGCTGCACTGGAGTCAATGCAGATCCTTCATGCAATAGTCCTGCTAACAAGGTTTATCTTCTTGCTACTCTGTCATTCATTGCTGTGATCTTCCTAGTCTCGTCGCCCTGGGGGCTGGGCGACGAGACTATGATCTTCCTTACTTTTTTTATAATTTTATACTGTTAGTGTGTGTGTGTGTGTGTGTGTGTGAGTGTAGTGTACTTTAAACCCAATGGCCTTTATGTTTAACGCTTTTGCAATGGGGGGTAATGGGTATACTAAGATCCATTAATTTTAACGATTTTGTCCATTAACTTGAAAAAAATTAGGCCAATGATAAGAATAGTTAAAATTAAAAGGTAATTTTAATGGGTTTACAGTGTGGCGTGAAGCTGTCAAATGCCAACTTGATCTCCTCACCCCACTGGGTAAATGGTTTACATGCATTAGAGTGATTCACAATATCCTAACTGTACACTGATAAATTCCATTATCACTGATAATAGAGTGATTACTTGGTTAGAAATACTTTTCATTACCTTATAGTCTATAAGTATTATCTTATTAGGTGGCCACTGGGCAAGTTTTTAGATCGTAGCTGATAAGAGAATTAAAGCGAAAATAAAATACAATTGACTTTGAAAGAATTTACAGTGGTGATGTGATCATCTATGGGTATGGTTCATGGTAATTGAATGTTTGGTAAACAAAGGTGTTTGTCTTTGCGTGAAGTTATTCACTACTATGCTTTGTATGATTAAGCTGACTTATGATGTCAAATACCTATACTCTCACTGATATAAGATATCCAACAAAAATGCTTCAAATGAATTTAAACCCAACCACAAGTATAATAAGATTAAGCCCGACACTAAAACAGGTATTTTTAGTCTATTTGAAGTCATTGTAACCAGATAGAGGTGATCGAAGGTTGATAGTAAGAGTTCTTGTTGATAGTGAAGCTGCAACATGTCAAATTTCTCTCTTTCCACTAAATTTGCAGCAGTCTGCTGCTTATTTGTTGCAGCTGTCATCAGTCAAGGAGCTGTTGCAAGCAATCTGCAGGAAAGCCTACTGATCAAATTTTCTGAGGAGCATGACATTCGTCAGGATGATGATTCTGATGACTGCTTCACTGCCTTTAATAAAAGCTTGCCTCAAAGCTGTAGCGCAACTGCACTGCTTGAACTTAGCCCAACCTCTGATCTCAATGATTCCCAGCTAGCTGAAATAAATCAGGCTTACTCCAGACACTGCATCTCTTCCTGCCTTGACCCATTGGTTACATTCTTACGCTGCCGAGGAATGGCAAATAATGATTCTTCTGCTGCAATAAATTTTGAAACAGAATTTCTTCAAAATGGAGTTTGCGGACAAGAGAATGGAGACTATTGTCGTGTTCTACTTGCTCGAGAGAATCGTACCAACAGTGTTGCATTTGATCAAATTGATGGTGCTTGCTATTCCATTAATACTGGAATAGTCTGCAACAGTACAACCTCTGCTAAGTGTCTCGATAGTCTTACTAGGGTTGCTTCATTGATTGGTTGCTGTGCTCGTCCTTTAATTGGATCTGGTATTGATAGCTGCAGTGGAGTCAATGCAGGCCCTTCATGCAATAATATTATGAGTCCTGCTAACAAGGTTTATCCTCTTGCTACAGTCTCATTCATTGCCGTGATTCTCCTTGCTTTTTTCTTTTAAAACTTTCATGCTTTAAGGCTTTTTTCTTTTTTGAGTTATTTAATCTAGATATAGATTTCTAGTTTATTGCTGTTGTTATTTTAGGCCTATTAATTTTTAATGTTGTAGTTGTTGTAGATCTAATAGTGATTTTGTCTTTGAAATTAAATAATTTTTCTGCTATTGTTATTGTGAAACAAATCATATAACATAAATTGCACAAGATTAAATGCGTTAGATTACTTATTTTGCTGTGCTGGGGAATTCACATTTCCTTGAAACCATACTAAATTCATTTAAGCGTGATAAGCACACAACCATACTACAGATATGTCAGCTAGATACGGTATGTGTGCTTGATCGTAATTAATTATAGGCGTGGCTCATAGTAATTAAAAGAGCATAGATTAGAGCATAGATACCGACCGGTATTAGATCTACGTAACTATAATATCTATGATTAGACTACAGTTTCCTGTATGTACTCGAAAGAGTGGGTTGGTAAACAAAGGTGTGTGGGACTGTGGGTATTACGTGGTGTGAACTTGTCAACTTGATCTCATACTCCCGCTGGGTAAATGGTTTCCCTTTGTGTTCATGGAAGAAAATGTCAGGCATTAAAGTAGACATTCACAACCACATCTTGCCAGAGAGATGGCCGGATTTAAAAGAGGTAAGGCGTAAAGAGACGGAAGAAAGGTTTGATTTTCTGTTACATTCAGAGATATGGTTATGGCGGGTGGATCCAGCTTCACCACCACTGCCAAGGGAAGGCAAGGATGTTAAAGGACGGCCAACTCTTTCGAGTGGTGGACGAGAACTGCTGGTCTCCCGAAGCTAGGATAAAAGACATGGATAATACAGGTATTGGGGAAGGAGAGAGAGAGAGAGGGAGACGCTTTTATTGATGATGTTTCATTAGGTGTAACTGTACAGGCCCTATCAACCGTACCAGTTATGTTCAGCTATTGGGTATGTTAGTATCCCTTGATGACGCTCCTTTAAATCTTTTGTATTTACGCAACTAGGCAAAGCCAGAGGACACACTTGACTTGTGTAAAATTTTAAACAACGATTTGGCTCAAACTGTTGCCAAATTTCCAAAGAGATTTGTCGGGCTGGGCACGCTTCCTATGCAGGTGAATATTAAAAGTCTGTATTATCTAGATAACATGTACATGTATCTTATAGTAGAAAATTGTAATGTCACATGTAATTTTGCAGATGTTGCATAACTTGCATTAAAGTATAACATGTGCCTTATCTCATTGTATGTTTAATTGCTTTTAGCAAGAGTAGATAATAGTTAGAGGAAAGTGTCCTACTGTGCAACACACCTTGCTTCATCACGGTATAGAGTTGAAGAGTCACATCCCGGCTATTTCTGTATTTTTGAGTAGTTGTTTGAAGATAACTAGCAATAACTATAACTACTCAAATAAAGTACAGAAATAACCGGAGTGTGACTTTCCATTTCTATGCGGTGATGAAACAGGGGTCATAGTGCATAGTAGGACACTCTCCTCTAATTATTATCTACTCTTGCTTTTACTTAATCAATTTTAATTATGTTACTTACTAGCCTCAGACTGTAATAATACTATTGCACACAGTAACAATGACATGCACACAATTCAAACTCTAATTTTTCTTATCCCAGGCACCCGAGCTAGCTGTTCAAGAACTGAAACGTTGTATTAAGGTATATTGTACATGTACTAATGCTGTTAGGATAATCATCGTTTGAATGTAATCATCATTGGAATGATAGGAGCTAGGCTTTCCTGGTGTTCAGATAGGCTCTCATGTCAATGAGTGGAATCTTGATGCTACCGAGTTACAATGTGTATTTGCTGTGAGTCACACAATCATTTACAAAGATAATATGTAATTGCTCCATTTAATGTTAAAGGCGGCTGAGGAGTTGAATGCAGCTGTGTTTGTTCATCCTTGGGACATGGAGACAGGTGGCCGTATGTCAAAATACTGGTTACCATGGCTAGTAGGTGAGTAATGACTATTAAAAAAAATCTCCATATACAACACTATGCATAGTGTACACCACAATGGGTCTATTGTTAGTATATCAATGATGTGTACATGGTGCGTGCATGATGTTGAATCCTTGTGTGACCTCAAATGCCTAACCCAATTATGGAAGCATGTAGTACATCAAGTTAAGTGGATTATCTCTAATATGCCTAATATTCTCTCAATTATCAACAATGATATAATATTACATGTACATGGATTCCTCCTTGTTTTGGTAAGATTAGAATTTAACAATCGCTATTTCATACCTTGTGCGTGTATAAGTTTAGCAGCAAAGTGTTATCCCCTCTCTCTCCCTCCCCCTCTCTCTTCCCCCCTCTCTCTCTCTAGGGATGCCAGCAGAGACAGCAACTGCCATTTGTTCTGTTCTGTTTGGTGGCGTGCTGGAGAGACACCCAAACCTAAAGATATGCTTTGCTCATGGAGGAGGATCCTTCCCTTATACCATTGGAAGGATTGAGCATGGTTTTAATGTACGCCCTGATCTCTGTGCCACTGAGAATAGTGTCAATCCTAGGTCTGTTTGGATCTGTTTGTGTTGTGTTCTAGCTCAAACTTGTATGATAGACAAGCAGAAAATGTGCTTGGCACATGCCTTGCTAATATTGGTGGTCAGTATTAACATAGATATGGTATTAAGTATAGATGCATCTACTTTCAAGAGAGCATGTGCATAACACATTCTGCTTGTCTGTCATCGAAAAACACAGTAGTAGTATTTGATAGTTTGTATTGTAGGAGTTACATAGGAAAGGTGTACACTGATTCATTGGTTCATGATCAAAAGGCACTCAAGTTCCTGGTAGATATCATTGGAGAGGTAATCCAATTTAGTGGCACTATGATCTTATCCTTGTTATAACAAACAACCTGTTTAAAACTGGTATTACAATCACTAACTGACCTCATGACTGACCTCTAATGCACTGCACTTTCAAGGAAGGGAGGAGGGAGCATAGCTCTGCCTATGGTGGTTGGGGGTGGTCTGGACAACCACCTCAACAAATGAACCAACCAGTTCATCACTTAGACCAACCATCCAATTTACATGTATATTAATAGCCATACATAAAAGCATGATATTGTAGTCTGTGCATAGATTTAAAAGGAACAATAAGTCTCCAACCACCTCTAATTTTTTTTTAAAGGCAGAACCCTGAGGAAGGGATTAGAATCATAATTGCATTGTGTTACTGTAAAAAGATCTGTTATTGTGTTATCTTTAATCAGCTATTCTAATAGGATAGAGTTGTTCTAGGAAGTGATTATCCATTTCCTCTGGGAGAACACTTCCCAGGGAAACTGATTGAGTCAATTGAAGAATGGGACACATCACTTAAGGTTTGCATCATTTAGGCTCTTATAAGTATTATTTTTTGATTTTAGGACAAACTTCTCAGCAAGAATGCATTTGAGTTCTTGGGTCTGGATCCCTCACAATATGAAACCTAACATTATTAGATTTTAATCCTTTTACACTTATTATATTCCTCATTGCCCCTTTTCATCACTGATTTTATTTAATAATAAGTATAATAATATTCAAATCTGTGAATTACCAGGTATAATTGTACCATGTGCCATATAGTTAAATCATTAATAAAGTGCAATGAATGTCCTTAAAAAGTGTAAGGTGCATGCATAAGCATGTATTGTAAAAACAGACCCAATGTGGCTATTTTACCAAAGATGATTAGAAAAGAATTCTCTATTTTTATAATTTTTTGGCATACATGTTGCATAGAAAATTTGGTTCCGATCAAATTTAGATTTTAATGAATTTTTAAAGCTGCTCAAAAATGGAGCCAAAGTCTTGTACAAGAATTTTGGCCTAATTTCATCAAAAATTAAAAGGAGAGAAATCTCCATTCTTATAATTTTTTTCTGATACATTATACATGTGCTTATGTTGTGTAGAAAGTTTGAACTGATTCTGATCAAGTTTAGATTTTTTATGAACTTTTCAAGTTGCTTTAAAATCAGGCCAAAGTCCTTGCACTATTTAATAGTACAAGGACTTTGACCCAATTTTTAAGCAACTTGAAAAATTTGTAAAAAATCCAAACTTGATCAGAATTAGTTCAAATTTTTGGAACATAAACACATTAGCATAATTAAACTAGAGTAAAGAACATCCACTGAATAAGCTAATAAAATTACTAATAATAATAATTACTGGTTTCACAGTCTATTGATTAACAGCTATTAATAGTAAGATGATGAGAACAAGTTAGCAAGAAAGAGAGAGAGAGAGAGAGGTGGCGGGAGGATGCTGGAAAGAATTGTCCTACAAGATGACACATTTTGACTTCTTTTTCTTTTTTTGATTCGTTTCATTAACGGAGTCTTTCTTAGAGTCTTTCTTCTCCTTTATGGCAAGGACTAAATCGTAATAAACCTTTTCAACATTTAGCTTAGTCTTGGCTGATGTTTCTTCATAAGGAATCCCCCACGAATGTGCGAGGGCTTTTGCTTCATCAAAGCTCACTACCCTTTGATCTTGGAGATCGATCTTGTTACCAACGAGTATCATTGGGACTTTATCGTCAACTTTCACTCTGAGGACTTGCTCCCGAAAGTCCTTCATGCCCTCAAAAGTCTCTCGCTCTGTGACTGAGAAGACGCAGATGAAGCCCTCTCCGGCTCTGAAGTAATTGTCACGTATGACAGCATAGTCTTCCTGCCCAGCAGTATCAAGTATGTCTATCTGGCATTCTTGCCCGGAGACTGTCGCTTTCTTGCGATAATTGTCTGCTTTTGTTGGCTCATAGTTCTCAACAAACTGAGAGAAATAGAGGAGAAAGAAAAAGGAAGATAACATTTACCAGAACCAAACCAAAAACAAATATGTATCATATAATACTAATAATAAATTTGGTTAGGGTAGAGCGAGGTATACCGGTATCCTGGAAATAGATTCCAATGAAAAAACCATAGATTTTGATGTAATGAATGAACAAATTATGTCTCCTATATCTTTACACAAAACTCAAGTAGGCTGTGAGGGTTTAGGGTTTGATTTTTTTTTAATGTTTTGTGAGGGTTTCATGTTGGTGGTTGTGTGGGTGGGGGTCCAACAAAAACATTATAATCTAAACCCTAAACCATTAGAGCCTACAAAGCATTCTCTTCAGTGTTTAGTTTTTATGTGCTCAAGCCCACCCCCTCCATGTGAGGTGCAGCTTAGCATCCTGCCAGCTAAGGATATTGTGGGGCGAGAGGGGTGTTCATCTATGATGTTATCAGTGAGTCAGCAATATTAAAATGGCGTTCTAAGTGGTACCGGTATACTACATTTGCCCCTAAGGTTACTAATAATGATAGCATTCCTCACCTCTGAGTACATGAATTGCAACGTCAAAGCATTCTTTCCTACGCCTTCAGGCCCAACCATGATCACCCTGTGGACCGGCAATTTACCTTTACCCTTCCTTTTTGACATTTCAGCTGTTCCCTGTGAAAATAAAGAGGCTAAGGAGCCCGGGAGAGAAGGAGAGAGTGTTACAGCATTATCATGGTTACAGCACCCAGCCACGCCCGGGATGGCTGAGCTGTTACTCAGATCTGCAGATGCATGCAGCTTCACTGCATGCACTGAGGAGGTTCAGTGGTCATGTGTCATATGATGATCACTTCCTCTACTTATCCTATTCTACCATTATCTATGATTCTACCTTAATAAAATGGAGGATTCTCTCTCATTTCATCACTTTAGCAGCAGTTATCTCACTAATACTGCAATTGACTTAAAAACTTCAATGCATTTAGTTAAAAAAAACTAATAAACTTTGCATATATAGTGTAATAGCAAGAGTAGACTAGATCTACTCTTGGTAATGGCACTGTATTGTAAAAACAGCCGGAACCAGTGTCACCAAAAATGACTAAAAAGAATTCTCTAGTTTTATAATGCTATCTTTTTTTTGATATACATATAGTCATGTTGCATAAAAAGTTTGGTTCCAATCAAATTTGAATCTTTAAAGTTGCTCAAAAATCAGGCCAAAGTCCATGTACTATATACAGGAACTTTGGTCAAATTTGTCAAAAATGGAAAGGAGAAAAAATTTTCTGATGCATGTACTTATGTTGTGTAGAAAGTTTAAACTGATTCCAACCAAGTTTGCATTTTTTTTCCCCAAATTTTTAAAGCTGTTCAAAAACCAGGTTAAAGTCCCTTGTAGCATAGGGATTTTACCCAAATTTTATCAAAAATATAAAAGAGACTTCTCCATTTTAAAAATTATTTCTGATGCTTATTTATACATGCAGAGTAGACAAACGTTTTACAATCAAAAATAACTCAAGTCATGATTATTCATTCAGTTAGTATAGATGTATGGTTTCATCTTTACATTTCTTTTGTATGACAGTACCAGGTTTATGCTGTGCATCAGCATGATTGAGTAACTCAGAAGACACAGGACTCTCAAGTCAAAATTAATTAATTTTTACCTGCACGCATGATAACATGCACTTTGTCTATTGAATTTTAACTAGCTAGGAAGATTGATTTTGATGATATTATGACTTTTTTGCTTGGCAAAAGGCCAGAAGGGCCCATCTTCTGTAATAATTTTGTTTAATTAAGTTCTTAAAAAATTTATTGGGGCCCTTAAAACCCTGCTCTTAGCCATGTCATAGTTTAGTACCATTGTAACATCTCTGCAGAAGAGAGGAATAAAAATATACAATATGTTTTATTGCATTTTCTGATATACATGTACATGTTATGTAAATTTTGAGCTCACATGTGAATTTATGTACAGATCAGAATCATCTACAACAAACAAATATGCATGTGTATGATCACAAAAAATTATAAAAAACAATTCTCACCTAAATCTATAGTCATTTTAATAGACGAAAGTATAAACTATAGTATGCTAGCTCAGCCTAGCTGACTCTGCCAAGTGTGCCGAAATATTGCTCACTTTAGCACCTTGAGATGCAACTGTTTAAGATGAAGCATGAAGTGCAAAAAATATTTCACAGTAACCCTGGTGCTCTGATGCAAGACTTAATCACATGCTCATCACATGCTAAACAACTTTGTTGGAGAGGAAAGGTTTATCTGTCTTCTAAGTTCTAGCTGGCATTTGCTGAAATAGCTGATTCAGTCCTTAACTGTTAAATCCTGTGCTTCAATAGTTCTATAGTCCCTCAATCCCTTGTGTTCTTCATCAATGGAGCCTAAATCCTGTTTAATATTTTTGATTGTATTATGTGCAGTAACTGCTGTCTCTTGCAGTAAAAATAAAAGTAGGATATTAAAAAGTTCTATGTTACATATTGTATCTCACATACATAATTTCCATTTTCAAAGTTTAATGATGCTATATATACTTGTATAACTTGTTTGTGTAGGAGAGGAATGGCAGTTGCTAATTCCTGATGGCAAAATAACCTCCTCACCTTCGGACAGTGCCGTTAAAATAGGAGATACACTGACCATATTTTGTGCCTATCCTTCTTACATGTTGTCACACATTCAAGAACCACGCATCTGTCATGATGACTTTAAGAATGGTAAAAAGTATGGAACTGTCTGCCACTGGTTTGTGA